TTTGACATACCTAGGCCTTCTGGTCTTGTATATGTTTTTATCTTTTTAACAAGACATACAAAATTTTTTATATCAAAATTGTATCTCTTTTACTTATAGCTTTTCAATACATATTTTTTATCTCACTATAGACCTTTTATCACAAACTTGTCTTTAGCTGTTAAAATTTTAAAGTGTCCCTTTTTTCGTTCTCAGATTGTTACACTTTACATTTGGTTGGCTGCCAATAGAACGGTAGTAACCTTGAGGTTTTTTTTTTTAATCAACACAGTACAGAAAAGAGCAAGTTAACCTTATAATTACAATTGAAGAATTTGCAATGTACAAGAAGTACTTTAACTGCTGCGCAAGCACAAGGACTGGAGTTCGATCCCCGGTACCAGAAAAAAAAAAAAAAGAAAAGAAATACTTTAAGCACACATATTAAACATCAACTCAAACTGAAACACAGATACATTTATCAATTAACTAAAATTTGTAATCTTTCAAACTGAAACTCAGATACATTTACCAATTAGCTAAAATTTGTAACTTTTGTAAAATTTCTTACTTTCTCTGGCTTTATGTCCTTCAGAGCTTTTTTAGCTATTTTTAATCCATTACTTATTTTTTCTAATTTTTTTTTTGGAGTGTAAGCCCTATTCGATCCTCTCTGAGTCTGACCACAGCATGGTGCTCTGAAGCCAAGCAGTTTTCACGCTTTTGCCCCCACCTCCAAACCTGTGAATTTAGCAACTCAAAAGGAGGGGGAGGGCCGGGGATTTAGCTCAGTGGTTCTGCCCTCCGCCTGAAGGCTCAAGGACCCCAGTTAGATCCCTGGTACCCAAAAAAAAAAAAAAAAGGAGGGGGAAAGTCTAAATTCTCTTGGTCCAGATCTGAAAGGACCGGTTACTTTTCAGCATCGTCCCCTTTCTGACAGAGGACCAGGATGTTGCTTTTCGCTTCCGGGGCACACATATGAAGCCAAGGAGGCATTCTGTGGCACAATTTGAGCCATAAATCAATATAGGGAAATTGATCTGGATGTTCCCATCCAGGGGCAGTGACTGTTAGCCAGATGGACCAGATGAGACCCTCACCTAGGGATCTCTCAGTTGGACAAGCTAGGCAAAGCTTGGGTCATTCTAACTCACAAAAGGCTCTAAGTTTTGAGGTTTCATCTTAATACCATAATTTCCAGTAAAACCTTTCTTAAAATTCTTAAGCATGCATTCCAAAACAGTAGGAAGAGATGTTTCTGTCCCCACGATCAGCCGATCAGAGTGTTGGTGCGTGTATGGGTACCCTTGTACGGAGACGCAAGACAAAGGTGGGGATCACTCGCTCGCCTGCCTGGCTGCAGGCCTCTCGGCCATTTTAAGGTCCGTTGAGGCTAAGGTGGGCTGTCGCCTAAGCTCACCATTGTGCCTTTGTTAAAGGCGACCACACACAAATTCTACGAGTCGGGGAGGACTCTTTAAGCGCAAGAGCTTCCTCCCTGTCTTGTTCCGCAGCTCGTTTCACACACTCCTATCCAGAACTCTTTGGCTTACACCTTTATTCAGAAGTTATCATATTCCCTCCAGGTGAGCCCCTAACCGTAACCAAAACAAATGAAAGAAGCTACTTCCCCAAATGGCAAAGCACAAGGGGTGATGGGCCCCTGCACTATTTTTGCCCAAAGTTCACAAAGTGAACCAAAACAAACGGGAGGAGCTATCTTCCCAAATGGCAAAGCACAAGGAGTGATCAGGCCCCTGCACTGTATTTGCCCAGAGTTACAAAACACAAATTCACAAAGCGAAACAGAAAGTTAACGACTAGGGGGTTTCCCGGGGTTTCTCACCCAGCAAAGGAAAGAGACAGACGAGACACCAAGAGCAGCAGTCCTCCTTCTGTCTCCGTCTCGGGTTTGGGTCTCTGTGTCCTGTTGGCAAGCCTAGGAAATTAGTCCCAGGAGCATGCCTTTCCTCTCAAGGAGACAGAGAGCCACTCCCTCCGGTGGGGTTCGGGCTGATGCCCAAAAGGGCTATTTCATTCCTGATTCCTGGCCAATGCACCAAATGTTGCAGAAATCTCGGAAAGAAATACATGGAGACACAGAATTCAGATAAAATAATAACATTTCTTCTTGCGAGCGGGAAGGAGGGCAGGAACGCCAGAAACAGGTCTGGTTAGTATCCGCCCCTCTTTTTTCAGCGTTTCCCTTTTTATATCCTTTTTGGCCATTATCTCATCCCTAGTGGTCTTTGATGTGTAAATACAATTCCAGTTCCTATGTACAAGTCACAGACACAAGACAGGCACATATACATTATAAATTCACCCTGGCATTGTAACTTTGTTAGGTTAATGAAGTTACTGGTTAAAGAGTCAGATAACCATCACCTTAAACAACGAGTTATGGGAAAAGCAAATCTTAAAAGAACACATTACTTATTTTGCTTCTACAACTACCTTAATATTCAATCTATTGGGGCCAGGGATTTAGCTCAGTGCTTCGAGTGCCTGCCTTGCAAGCGCAAGTTCCTGAGTTCAATCCCCGGTACCAAAAAGAAATTTAAAAAAATACTCAATCTATTAAGTTATCTAAAACTTTTCCTTATTAATATCACAGGCAAATAGTGAATCTACCTAACTTTTTTTAATCTACCTGTTATACAAGGAGTGCCTAAAAATAAACAGGCAGGGCCAGGGGTGTGGCTCGGGTAGAACGCTTGCCTAACACGTATGAGGCCCAGGGTCCAATACTCAGCACTGTGAAAGAAAGGAAAAGAAAAGAAGCAAAAAAGACCAGCAACACAACAGTACAGGATGAGAGGAGCCTGAGAGTGCTGGACGGGCCGAAAAACTGGCCTGGAGAGAAAGAAAGCCTCACTATGCCAGAGTTGTTGATGGTGTAGAGGTGCGTGGACACTGACAGCAGACTTCCTGAATTCAAACCAGAACTCTGCCTCTTACCAACTCTGTGACCTTAGGCCAACCACTCGACCTTTCTGTGCTATACTTTCTTCATCTGAAAAAAATACCCACCCCAGAAGGTTGTTGTGAGAATTAAATGAGTTACTACGTTATAACCACAATGTCTGGAACAGAGTACTCACTCAAAAGCCATCATTATTATAAACGTATGTGTTCTGGGTCACAGTATGAGCTGTCTTTATTTTGGAGAGTCATTGTCAAAAAGTGTGAAAAAACACTGGCTTTTAAGCTACTTTACTTTGGTTTTTTCTGACATCTGCAATCAAAGAGTTGTGACTGATATGGAAACTTGTTCCAAGAGTGAGGTATGTACAGTGGCTGATGCCAAAATATGGAGGTGTCTGACATGCAGAACAGGTACAAGGAGCAGGCAGAAAGCAGTAGTGCTGCATCATAGAGGCCCATTCTGCCTGCTGCTGGGAAACTGAGGCACATGCACCTCCTGACTGCTGAAAAAGCCAGACTCTCTGCTGGGTACTAAGGTCAGTGTGAGCCAGGGTTGCTGCATACAAAATGGCAGCCAACACTGAGAGAAGAGAAGACCAGAGACATGGGAAAGCTTGGCCTACCACCTGACACCTCCCACTGGGCACTCTCCAGACCCAAGAAGACATAACTTCCCCCTCAGAGTGCCATCCTCCAGGACACAGCCCCAGCCCAGGGGACAGACTGCCTGCCTCATGAAGCCATAAACAGCTCCAGACAGAAGGATCTGGGAAGCCCTGACAGCTAGGTAAACCTGATAATCAAGCGATGGACAGAGCCAAAAGGCCTGTTGCTAAAAGACAGAAACTGCACACACATGGCCCGAATGCAACACCTCCAATCACCCTGACCCTTTCATCTAAATGGGAAGTTTTCACTGGAATTGGCCTACTGCCCCTCTGCCACATATACTTGCAGGGTATGTTGGAACTGTTTATATTGACTACACAACTACAGGGTGTTGAAATGCAAGCAGCCAGGTCAGGCCTATCAATTAATAGTAATGATACTTACACATATATCCAGCTATTCACGTATTAACTCAATCTTTACCATGCGTGTGTGTGTGTGTGTGTGTGTGTGTGTGCGCGCGCGCACGCGCCTGTGTGTGTCTATGCTGGGGACTGTACCCAGGGACTCACGAATTCAAAGCACATACTCTAAAACTGAGCTATACTCCCAGCCCCTTAACTCATTTTTAATCCTCACACCAGCCCTACATAGTAAGTATAATTCTTAGAACCACTCCACACATGCAGAAACTTAAAGCCAAAGAGGTTAAAAGATTGAGACAAAGTCACAGAACCAATAAGCCACAAGGAATGGCATTAGTTGAAGAGTTTTTGTTGTTGTTGTTTGTGGTACTGGGGATGAACCCAGGGAGCACTAAGCTACATCCTCAGTGCTGGCCTCAAACTTGCAATCCTCCTACCTCAACCTCCTGAGTAGCTGGGATTACAGGTGTGAGCCACCATGCCTAGTTGGGAGGGTTTTTTGGGGTTTTTTTGTTTTTGTTTTTGTTTTTTTGGTACTGGGGATTGAACTTGGGACCTTGCACTTGCAAGGCAGGTGGTGGAACCACTGAGCTAAATCCCCGGCCCTACAGAAACTCTTTTGGAATTGTTAAGAGGCAACCTGCATGTAGTTGCTACAGGGGAGTGTAGCAGAACACTGTTTAGTTGACCAGCCTACTTTCCTTTGGATAATCATCCCTCCCCCAACTCCATGGGATCCTGAAAGAGCAGCCAATCAGGCCATAGCCAGGAACAGCACAGGCCTGTAATTCCAGCACTTGGGAGGCTGAAGCAGGAAGATTATAAGTCCAAAGCCAGCCCAAGCTACATAATGAGAACCTGTCTCCAAAAGAAAAGAAAAGAAAGGCTCAGAAGGGTTACAGTCACACAGTCAGCAAGTGGTGAAACTAAGTTTCAACTATTCCTGCAGTTTGGCCACAAAAAGAAGTGGCAGAGAGGAAAGGCAACAGTTTCAAAGGAGTTTAGCTACTGTGTAAAGGAGGAAGGAAGATGATGTGTACTTGGGAGGAGGGCACTCACCATGCAGGCCTGAGCCAGGCTCATGGCCAGGCGGAACCGAGCAGACATGGCGACAGGCAGCAGAGGGCTAAGGCCAGAGCCCACGGCAGGGTTGATCACACGCAGGCAGCGGACTACGGCCTCTACAACCAGCTCAGTTGTAAAGGCTCGTAGGGTCTGCACATCTGGAGGGACTGCCCTGAAGAAAGAGGCAGACGCAATCAGGGGAGCAGTCAGGAAACAGGGATCAAGATGCCGCATGCAAACTTCTAGAAGCCCTAGAACCAGGGGATAAATTTATGGGGTCTGGGATAGTAAAAGAAAGGGCCCTGGTGACTTGGTCTCTGTATTTCTGGGTCCCCAGACATCAGGTTCTGTGTATGTCAGAGACACCCAGACACTGAGCTACTAGGGTTTAGAAACGAATACACGTTGGGAGGCTGGGATTTTCAAAGTTTCAAATGTCAGGCTTACTGGGTGTAAAGATCCCTGGACATCAAGACCTTCTAGTTTCAAACTATACAAAACTTAGGCACCCAAGATGTTGGCAGTCGGGCTTTTAGGGCCCTCGAATTGGAGGAGTCCTTGTTCGTCTACGTGACCAAGCACTGATATCGCTAGATTTTAGAGATCTGGATTTTGGGGTTTGTTTGTTTGTTGGTACCGGGGATCGAACTCTGGTCCTTGCGCTTGCGCGGCAGGCGGTGAAACCACTGAGCTAAATCCCCGGCCCCAAGACCTGGATTTTAAAAGTCCCAAGTGCTTGGGAAATTTAAAGTTTGAAGGTTCTTAAGTATCCAGTCCGAGTTTTGGGAGTCCCCAAGTGTCAGGGTCCTGGGGTTTTAAATTCCCTGATTCTCAAAATGCAGGTGTCTTGCGTCTCCAGATATAAGGGTCCCAGCGTATTTATGTCAAGATTCGCAGATCTCAGGGTTCCGGGTCTTGAGGTTCCAAGGTTGTAAGGTCTCAGAGTGCCTGGGTCCTCGAGTTTGAGTTTACCAAATGTAGAGATCAAGGGTCTCAGGAGGCCCTTAATGTCGGGGCTGTGTGCATGGATCCTGGAAACTGGAGTCCTACGTGTCAAGGCACCAGGTTTTAAGGTTCCCGGGTGAAGGGGGTCGCGGGTTTTGGAGTCCCGGATGTGGGCACCTGGGAACGAGTAGGGAATGTGTACTTACGTGCCAGCCTGGCGTAAGGAATGGATAAGGATTCGATCTGCCTCCTCCATGATGAAGCCGAATCGGGGTCGGGACCTGGGTCCAAGACGGGATCCGAGAAAGTGGGGCGCAGCTGCTGGAAACCAGCTCCGCGCTCGCGGTGCACAGAACGTCACATGCCGCGAGAGAAGAATTGGGAAGTGTAGTTCCCTGAGCTAGAAGGCTCACGCAGGATGCCTCGAGGCGCGGTGCGAATGTGCGCGCGCAGGCCAGTGTGCGCAATGGCTGCTGGAAGGTGTAGTTCTTCCTCCTGAAGTTCCTTGGGCTCTTGCAAGATAAAAAGAAACTGTGATGAGAGGGGAGGGACGGGACAGAGAAGAGCTTTGTTCAAAGAGGCATTCATTGTCTAGGCTATAAAAGTGTTCGAGTATCCTGTAATCCCAGAGCTCTGGGAGGCTGATACCAGAGGATTACAAGTTCCAGCCTAGCCTGGGAAATTTGGCGATTTAGCGAGATTCTGTCTCAAAATAAAAAATGAAAAGGGCTGGCGGTGCAGCGCAGCGCAATGGCCCTGGGTTTGATCCTCAGTAACACACACGCACACACAAAAGTGTACAAGTGCAGAGCAGGGGTTTTAACACAAAGCGACTGCTTCTTTCCCTTTCCTCATCTATAAAATAAGACTATTACAGTATCTGCTTCCTAGCATTAAAACACAATTAAAGTAGGTTGTGCTATATGGCTGACACAGTACAGTAACAAAGCACCATGTAAGTTACAGTTACCGGTCTTCATACATTCAGTGTTTCATTTTAATATGCTCTGCGTATTTGTACACTTCAAAGAATAATGACACAGCAAAAAACTATGTAACCCTCAGTTTGATCCCCGGTACCAAAAGAAAAACTATGTAACCACTACCCAGTAGTGCCAACATTTATCATAAATCAGGTATTTACATATGGGGCTCAGTTTCTGAACTATATTCTGTTCTTAATTATTGTAGCTTTATAACAAACTTTGGTAATAAAAAATGGTAAACTCTCCCATCTTGTTCTTTTTCAAAGGATTTTGGCTTTTCCAGAGCCTTTGTACACTGACACATTTCAAAAGCAGTTTGTCAAATTCCATGGAAAAATCTTTTGAAATATTTGTTGGATTGCATTAAATTTATAGGTTTCTTTGGGAAAAATTGATATTATCACAATATTGAGTATTTCAAGCAGTAAACATATTTCTCTATTTTTAGGTCTCCTTTAATATTTGATCTTTTTGCAATAGAAATGTTCCTCATATGTTAGGGTTTTTTGTATCAAATTTCAGATACTACTGGAAAACAATACCATTTTTCTTATTTTAGTTTCTGACTTCTTGTATCTATTTGGTAAACAATCAGTGTCTTTTCTGTTGTTGGGCTCTGACCCACATATGTCCCATTTGTGCCCCTGCTCACTCTCCCATTGGACACTGTTATTGCCCCACCCTGTGACCTTAATCTCTCCAAAGCTGGGGGAGGATGGGGGGCTGTGTGCAGATGGCCCTTCAATCTCCAGAGGAGGATGTCGGAATCTGAAGGCAGAAAAGGTGAGAGCAGCCATCCCCCCCTTCAGACCCTTGGAGCAAGCTTGGGCTCTGCTCCACCCCTGCCCCTCTGACCCACCCACTGCCCACTTGGCCCCTACCCTGGGACAGCCTCTGGAGGGGAAAAATCACATCACCTTACTCCCATCCCAGCCAGTCCCAAACACAGCCTCTTTACCACCTGAGCCCAGACACTCAGGCTGACCCAGATGCTGTCCCCCAAGGCTTACCAGCCCCATCAACAGTCTTAATTTCCAAGTGAAACCCAACCTCAATCCTGACCCTGACCCCTATTCTAGTGTCTATCCCACCTCTAACTCCAAAGCCAGCCCCAAACCTTACCAACCAGAAGGCAACCCCCAGTTAGAGTCCACACCCCACCCTGGTTACAGACCTTACCATGAATTCTAAAAGTCACCTAATCTTAAACTCAGCCCCTAGATGCCAGTGTTGTTAGTGACTGTGGTCTGTGATTTTTCACAGAGCACAGACCTTTTCTTAAAAAGCAAGGTGAAACAAGTATAGAGCAAGAACACACCTGATAGTAGTACTGGGATCTGGAGTCAGACTACCTGGGGCGACTGCTGTAAGTCATTTAACCTCTTTTTCCTGATTTCCTCATCTGCAAAACGGGAATACTACATGCCAGGCATTCTTCTGTATGCTGAACTCATTTAATTTTCATAACACTCTTATAAAGTAGGAACCCTTATTATCATCCCCATTATACAGATAAGGAAATTGAGGCTCAGAGGGATTACCTAATTTCCCCAAGGTGACACACTGCTACCAAACAGTAGAGTCAGGATTTAAACTCAGACAGCTTATTTTCTCCAAAACTTGGGATTTTAACCAGACTAACCTACTACCCCTCAGAAGCCTAAAGAAAGCCATATGGAAATAGGCTTAGATGAAAAACCCAATGCAAAATTCAAATCCCACTCAAAACTCAACTTCAGCCCTGGCCTTGATCCTAATTCTAGTCCCAATTCATTCAAATACCCAATCCTAACCCTAAATCTCAGCCAAACTCCACTCCCATCTAATAGCCACTGCTCAAAACCCATCATTCAAATTTAACCTTGTATTTGCCTCCAGCTATAAACCAAAGCCCATCACAAGGCAATTTAAGCTCTATCCCCAGTCAAACCCTGTTTCATTTGGAAATGTACTCTCACCTCCTCTCCCCTATAAATTCTCACTCCACCCTCAATATTAATCCCAACACTAAGTCTTGCCCCGATCCTTAACCTGAGTACCCCCAACTCTCCCTAGTTTCACATGCTCTTCTCTCCTTTCAGAGGGATGGGATCAGGTAGGAAGAAGCTATGATTGCCCTAATATCCTGCCACTCTCTGGCTCTTTTTCTCCACACAGACACCACCTCAGAGCCCAGTCCAGGCAATGGGGCAGGACCTGGTTCGGAATGGGGATTGTGCCCTGGGCCTCCAGCTGTGGGGAGTGATAGTGGGGCATCAGGCCTGGGAACCCCTAGGCGAAAGACTCAGAACAGTAAGCACAAGATGGTGGCAGTGGCCAGCGCACAGCGGTCACCCAGGGCACTCTTCTGCCTCACCTTGGCCAATCCCCTTCGGCGGTCCTGCATCAGCATCGTGGAGTGGAAGTATCCTGAAAGGCCAGGGGCTGGGCTCAGGAATAAGGATAACCAGGGTCCTGGGAGTCAAGGATTGGATCCGGGCTGGAATGGAGGAGAGGTGAGGTCATTAGGGATTCAGGGCAAAGAACTGGGTTAGAGGGGGAAACTGGATAAACTCACCAGGGGTTAGTGTCAAGGACTGGATCAAAGCATGAGTCGGAGATAATTATGGCTTGAAGAGGGGGTGTCAAAGGCAAGGCCTTGCTCAGGGCAGGGTTTGAGAATGTCAGATGCAGTCACCTTGAAGGCAAAGGCGGGTCCCTAGGGAATGTGGGATTTCCAAGGCAGCTCTGCCTGGGTCCTTGACTGTGTCCACCTCAGGCCTTTTGACATCCTCATCCTGCTGACCATCTTTGCCAACTGCGTGGCACTCGGGGTCTACATCCCCTTCCCAGAGGATGACTCCAACACTGCCAACCACAACCTGGTGAGGCCCCTGCCTGTCCCCAGCCAGATTCAGCCCCAGTAGAGCCACATTGAAAGCCTTCCAACCAGGCCCCGACCCACACAGCCCCATCCTCCGTCCCGACCCCACAATCCCTCCTCGACCCCTACCGGATCAGAACACCCCCCCCCCCGGGCGCCGGCTGGCTGGGGATTTAGCTCAGTGGTTCCGCAGCCTGCCTTGAAAGCTCAAGGTCCCGAGTTCAATCCCTGGTACAAAAAAAAAACACAAAAACCCGCCCCCAAATAACTCTCCGACAACCCACCACCACCCCGCGCCCGGCCCCGGCTCCATCCCAGGAGCAGGTGGAGTACGTATTTCTGGTGATTTTCACTATGGAGACCGTGCTCAAGATCGTGGCCTATGGGCTGGTGCTCCACCCCAGCGCTTACATCCGCAATGGCTGGAACCTACTCGATTTCATCATCGTCGTGGTCGGGTGCGTGTCTGCGGGGAAGAGGGACACCCCACCCTAGTTTGTGCTTCCTTTCCGCAGGCCCGCTGATTTCCAGGCTCAGGGAAGCGACTGCTTCAGGCTGCCCTTATTCAAAAGCCAGAATCAAGAATATTAACATATTTTTAATGTAAAAAAAGAATATTAACATATTTTAAAACCATTTGCATTTCCAGTTACAAAGGCTTGTGCTTTTAGGAGCAGAAAGGAGGGGTGGAGGGGAGTCCAAGGCCTGACACCTCCCGCCCCCCCCGCCCCCGCCTCCCTGTCCCGTGTTCCGCCATCAGGCTGTTCAGCGTGCTGTTGGAGCAGGGACCTGGGCGGCCAGGCGACGCTCCGCATACTGGGGGAAAGCCGGGGGGCTTCGATGTGAAGGCGTTGCGGGCGTTCCGGGTGCTGCGGCCACTGAGGCTGGTGTCTGGAGTCCCGAGTAAGCAGCATTCCTTCCGCTTGGGGTTGGAGATGGGGGTGGGGTGGGGCTGGGGCTAGGCTAAGCCAGCCCCCTCCTCCCACAGGCCTGCACATCGTGCTCAATTCCATCTTGAAGGCGCTGGTGCCGCTGCTGCACATCGCCCTGCTCGTGCTCTTCGTCATTATCATTTATGCCATCATTGGACTGGAGCTGTTCCTCGGACGCATGCACAAGACATGCTACTTCCTGGGATCTGGTCAGCCAGCCCACCCCTCCCAGGACAGGACACGCCCCCTCCCAGGACAGGACACGCCCCCTCCCCAAGCCTCCCAGACCCGAACTAGTTCTCAAGATACCCACTCAAATTCACAAGACTGTCCCCAGGCTCAGGCTGCACCCCTGAAAGCCCAATACAAACCCCTACACTCAAGACCCCGCCCCCGGCTCAGGCCTCCCTGTCTTTCGCAAGACTATCCAGCATTTACAGTCTCCCTCCTCAGATCCCTATCTGTGGTATGTACAGCTTCCCAGTGGGTCTGAATTCCAACCTTACAGGGATCAGGCCTCCGAGACAAAAGTTGATTTACCTTAGAAAATTATAGGACCCTGAGTCAAACTTCATAGGAGGGTGGGCTTTTGAGAAGGGACTGTGGATTGCCACATAGTCCCAGCTCTAGTTTTCCCGCAGATGTGGAGGTGGAGGAAGATCCGTCTCCCTGTGCATCTTCCGGCTCTGGGCGAGCCTGCACACTGAACCAGACTGAGTGCCGTGGCCGCTGGCCAGGACCTAACGGTGGCATCACCAACTTCGATAACTTCTTCTTTGCCATGCTGACAGTCTTCCAATGCATCACCATGGAAGGCTGGACTGACGTCCTGTACTGGGTGAGGTGAATGGTGGGCACACAGCTTGGAGGCTGCCTTTACCCCCTTCTCCCCAGCTCAGGTGGGCACATCTGCATGCCCTCAGGGAGTATGCCCTCTCTCTCCCCAGATGCAGGATGCCATGGGGTATGAGCTGCCCTGGGTATATTTTGTGAGCCTGGTCATCTTTGGGTCCTTCTTCGTCCTCAACCTTGTGCTTGGTGTCCTAAGTGGGTAAGAGACCCAGACATTCTCCCCCACCTCTGCAATTCCAGTCCCCTTTTTGTGCTGGCAAACTCCTAGCCATTCATCAAACCCCATGTGTAATGTACCTTCCTTCAACCATTCCATGTAAACATCTACTGTGTGAGAGGCACTGTTTTAGGAATGGAGCAAGACACGAAAATCCCTGCCTCCCTGCATATTTCATTCAATGTGGGGAGACAGGCAATAGCAAGATGTGGAAAGAAAGGATATAGATAGGAATAGTGAGATCTTGAAATTAGAAATAGGACTATCATGCCATGTATGATGGTACACACCTCTAATCCTGGCTACTCAGCTGAGGCAGGAGGATCAAAAGTTCAAGACCAGCTTGAGCAACTTCATGAGACATGGTCTCAAAATACAATTAAAATGTCTGAAGATGTAGCTCAGTGGTAGAGTACCCCTGGGTTCAGTTGCCAGTACAGCAGGAAGGAGGAGAAGGAGGAGGAAAAGAAGGAGAAAGAGGAGGAGGAGGAGGAGGAGAGAAGAAATAGAGACATCAGAACAGGCCTCATTGAGAAGGTGTTATTTGAATAAAATATGAAAGAGGGCTGGGGATTTAGCTCAGTGGCACCACACCTGCCTTGCAAGTGCAAGGTCCTGAATTCGATCCCCAGTACCCCCAAATATGAAAGAAATGAGGAAGGGGACCATGTGGCTATCTGAGGGAAGTGTTCCAAGCAACAGCCAATGCAAAAGCTCAAAGGCTAGATGTGCTTGGCATGTTCAAAGAACAGCTAGTATGGCTGAAATGGTGAAGGCAAGGAGCCTGGGGTGATTCCCTCACCTAGCCCTCTACTCTTCTCCCTCAGAGAGTTCTCCAAGGAGAGAGAGAAGGCAAAAGCAAGAGGTGACTTCCAGAAGCTTCGGGAGAAGCAGCAGATGGAGGAGGACCTGCAAGGCTACCTGGATTGGATTACACAAGCTGAGGAGCTAGACCTTGAGGACCCCTCAGCAGATGGCAACTTGGGTTCTATGGCTGAAGAGGGCCAAGCTGGCCATCGTAGGCGACTCTAGTCTGGCCCATTGCCTGCTCCACTCATGCCTCAGATGCAGCCCACCCTCCTGAGACCCAGCCCCAAGCTGTGGCCATTCTAGGCCCAGCCCCCAGTTCTGGCTCAGGACAGAGTCTAGACCCAGCCTCAGATACAAAGACTCCAAATAACCCCCCTTCCCCTAGATGTGGCCCTAACTCTGCCCCCCAGGTCATCCTCTCCAACTGTCCTCTCTGTCCCCACAGGACCACAGCTGGCCGAACTGACCAATAGGAGGCGTGGACACCTGCGCTGGTTCAGTCACTCCACTAGCTCCACACACTCCACCAGCAGCCATGGTGGGGACCTAGCCAGATCCAGTCAGGGCAGGGTAGGGGTGGGCAGGCAAAGGAGAAAACCAAAGGTCCCGACCTCTGTCCCCATTTGACCCACAGCCAGCCTTCCAGCCAGTGACACTGGCTCCATGACAGAGACCCCAGGCGATGAGGACAAAGAGGAGGGGGCTCTGGCTAGCTGTACACGCTGCCTGTGAGGGTCCCCAGCCTTTGACTTCTGACCAGGCCAGACCCAGTCGGACCTTGACCCCAGTCCTTATTTTCACCCCATATCTTAACCCCAGCCCCTGACCTCAGGCCCCAGCCACTGACTCCCTCTTGGCCTCTTATGACACTCCTCTATTCTCCCCTTTTCCAGAAACAAGATCATGAAAACTCGGGTCTGGTGAGTTGAGAAAACTGTGCAGTGACTTCTTGGTCCTGTGGCTTTGAGATGCCTCCACCTCCAAGCCCTCCATGGCCTTTGGGTCCCACCCCCCCGGCCCCCCACAGCTTAGGTCAGCATCTTGGCAGTGGACTCTCTTTCCTCCCAGTCGCCGCCTCCGAAGGGCCAACCGGGGCCTCCGGGCACGCTGCAGGCGGGCTGTAAAGTCCAATGCCTGCTACTGGGCTGTGCTGCTGCTTGTCTTCCTCAACACACTGACCATCGCTTCAGAGCACCATGGGCAGCCCGTGTGGCTCACCCAAACTCAGGGTGAGCCCCCCAGCCTGCCAGCCCTTTCCCATATCCCCCTGCTCCCTCCTCCCCAGTAGTTCAAATCCAGGGTCTCTAGGGAGCCTCAGACCCCAGACACTGCCTTCCCACCAGGAGAAATATAAAACCTCAGCCTGTCCCATCCGACCACATAGCTTCCACTTACATGGCACTTGCTGTGTGCATCAAGCTCTGTTCTTGGTGCTTCACATATTGCAAATTCAATCTCTCTTCACCACAGTTTATGTGCATTAAGTACTAAGGCCCAGGGTACTGGTCATCAAGGAACTAAAGTGTTAAGCAACTAATCCTAGGACTCAGCTCCTGAGTAACTAAGCCAGAAAATAGAAACCAGGTAACCTGGCCCCAGAATCCAGGCCCATAACTCCACACTGTCTGGATAAGTTAACCCCTTGTGCCTCAGTTTCCCCATCCACAAAATGAACATAATGACAATATCCATATCCCAGGGTGGTTGGGGGATTGAAGACATTACAATAGAAAGTGCTTAGAACATTGTATGGCCCACATAAAACAAATTCTTTACAAAAGCCAGCTGTTGTTATTCCACCCCAACTCTGCCCCTTACCCCAGTTCCAGGCTCACCAAAATCTCACCCACTCTGACCTACATCCCAATCCCAAACCCCAACCCCATGCCCAGCCCATACCTGGCCTGATACCAGCTACCCAAGATCACCCCACGCCCCCTTCTTTCCACGTGTCACCCTGTAAAGCAGCCAGCCCGGTTACCCCTGCCCCTCTCCACAGAGTGCGCCAACAAAGTGCTGCTCTGTCTGTTCACGGCTGAGATGCTTCTCAAGCTGTATGGTCTGGGTCCTTCTGTCTACGTCGCCTCCTTCTTCAACCGCTTTGACTGTTTCGTGGTCTGTGGGGGCATCCTGGAGACCACCTTGGTGGAGGTGGGTGCCATGCAGCCCCTTGGCATCTCAGTGCTGCGGTGTGTGCGTCTCCTCAGGATCTTTAAGGTCACCAGGTGTGTATGGAGGGAGAGAGTGGAGCCCCAGACACAGCCCAAACAGTCCACTCCCAGTTCCAGTGATAATTTCATCTGCATCACCATTCCCTTAGCAAACATCCATGGAGCACCTAACACATGCTGGGCACTCTCCCAGGCCCTAGGGAAACACCAGGAATCAAAGCAGGCAAAAGCTCCTTCCTTCATGGAGACCAGCGTCTACCAGAGAGAGCATCTGCTCCATTTGCTATCCTTCCCTCAACCACAGTTCTTGCTCTAGCATTACCCCCAAGCCCATCTCCAAACTCAATCCCATCTTCAGCCCCGCAATCTCATCCCCAAGCCCCCACCATAATACCATCTCTAACCCCAGCCCACAGTCCATGTCACCCTCGTCCATAGCCCATTTACAGCCAAGGCCAGCCCATCTCCCACCTCATCCCTACCTCCCAGGCCGACCCCCATCACTCACCACCAACCACAATGCCATCCTCTATCCTCAAACACAACCCCCACACCCCTCACCCTGATCACCCTTTCTCCAACCGCACCCCATTCCCTGACCCAGCCCCAATCTCATTCCCATCCCCTCTCCTCTCCAAACCCTCAATAACAGCCTTCTCTCCAACCCCAGGTCTCTGCAATCCCATCCCCAGCCCATCCCAGTCCCAACCTGAAACCCAATTCTAGCTTCACCAACTCCCATCTAAACCTCCATCCTAAGCCAGGCATGGTGGTGCACACCTGTAATCCCAGCACTCAGGAGGCTGAGCCAGGAGGATCACCACTAGTTTGAAACCAGCCTGGTCCACATAGTAAGTTCAAGACCAGCCTGAACTACATTGGGAGACCCTGTTTCAACAAAAAACAAAACATAAAAAACCTCTATCCTAGCAGGACATGGTTACACACACCTGTAAAGCCAGCATTTGAGAGGCTGAGGTCGGAAGATCACAAATTCAAGCCCTGCCTGGGCAATTTAGTGACTAATGAGAGAGATCCTATCTCAAAAAATAATTTTAAAAAAGGGTCCAGGTATATAGTTCAGTGCAAAGGCCGTGGATTCAGCCTCCGGAGACCTCCATCCTAACCTCATCTCCCATTGTGCCCCAGTGCCACCCCTAACCCCAAACTCAGCTCTCCCTTCCTGTCTTACTCTCACCATCCCCCAACTCCAAAATCATTTCCAGCCTTGACATCAAGCCTATCTGAACCCACCCTGCCCCAGGGCCCTCCAACCTGGAGCCCTGCCCCAGCTGCTGACTCCGCCCCTTCTGTCCAACCCTGCCCCTTCTGTCTCTGCTGCAGGCACTGGGCATCTCTGAGGAACCTGGTGGCATCCCTGCTCAATTCCATGAAATCCATTGCTTCCTTGCTGCTTCTACTCTTCCTCTTTATCATCATTTTCTCCCTGCTTGGCATGCAGCTGTTTGGGGGCAAGTTCAACTTTGACCAGACCCACACCAAGCGAAGCACCTTTGACACCTTCCCCCAGGCCCTCCTGACTGTCTTCCAGGTAGGGCCCGAAGACCTAGGGGTGAGTGGATTGGGGGGATCCCAGCATTGGTGGGGGTCCCAAGAGCTTCATGATGACCTCCCAACCCCAGATCCTGACGGGCGAGGACTGGAACGTGGTCATGTATGATGGCATCATGGCCTATGGTGGCCCCTTCTTCCCAGGGATGCTTGTGTGCATCTATTTCATCATCCTCTTCATCTGTGGCAACTGTATCCTTGGGATGTGGGAGGCCGGATGGTGGGGGGTGGGGCAGGCTGCTTCTCCATCTCTGCAGCCTGAGCTTTCCCCAGACATCCTGTTGAACGTGTTCCTTGCCATCGCTGTAGATAACCTGGCCAGCGGGGATGCAGGCACTGCCAAAGACAAGGGCAGGTAAGGCCTGGCTCCGCCCCAAAGACAGTCTCTCCCCAAGATCCCTGGCCGGAAACCCTGCATGCATCCTACACAGACAGCAGAGATGACTCCAGTCACCCTGGTTATCAGTCCCCACCTCCAGGTGCAAGCTGCCAGGCCTCACTCATTCCACTTGCATTTGTTGAGCACCTACTTTGTGCCAGACTCTGTTGTAAAGGCCATGGAAATAGCCGGGCTCAAGGCATAAAGAGTCCTTGCCTTTCATGAAGCTGACATTCCAGTTGGGGAAGATAAGCAAAATACAAAGAAATTAAAATATAATATAATAAATATATGTTAATAATACATGATAAAGAAGAAAGCAGAATGGAGAGAGAGAAATGTTGATTGCTATTTTGGTTAGGAAGGATTTTTTTTTTTGGTACCAAGGATCGAACTCGGGTCCTTGCGCCCAAAAAGGATTTTTTTTATGAGGACGTGACATTTGAACAGAGACCTGAATAAAGTAAGGGAGTGACCCATACAAATATCTGGAGAAATATTCAAGGCACAAGAACAGCAAGTGCAAAGGTCCTGAGGCAGTGATGTTATGACATTCAGAAACAAACACTGGAACCGGGGCCATGGCTCAATGGTAGAACATTTGCCTACTGTGTACAAGGCCCTGGGTTCCATCCCCAGCACTGCAGGTAAACAAATACACAAAAAACACCAGTGAGGCAGTAATGGAGTTAGAAAAGAGAATGGTCGGAGGTGAGGTCAGATGGTGGGGGGTAGAGGAGCCATACTGAGGGCATTCGGGGCCAAGGTGAGACTTCAGCTTTTGCTCTTGGTGGCAGAGCCCTGGGAGGGTTGTGAGCAGAGGATGGGTATGCCAGACAGAATTTCACAGGCTCCCTCCAGCTGCTGTGAGAATAGACCATGGGGGTCGAGGGAAGAAGCAGGGAGGGTCTAGGGGACCACGAAAGGTCTGTTCTGAGCCCAGTATGGCTCATGCCTGTAATCCCAGTACTCAGGAGACTGAGGAAGGAGGAAGGAAAGGGGGAGGGAAAGAGGGAAGGTAGGTTTGTCCTGACTGCTGCAATCCTCACGGCCTTGTCATCTGTAGCAATCAGCCCATTTCCTCATACAGGGAGAAGAGCAGTGAGGGAAATGCCCCCCAGGAGAATGGAGTGCTGGTGAGTTAGAGGCCTGAGTGTGGCCTACACCTCATACCTCCACCCATACCTGTCTGTGTGTGTGGCTTCCACCTGTATCTTCTATCTATTCATTTCCCCACTACCACATCACCCCCATGCGTCCCCTGGGTCCATTCCCCGAGTTGCCTCCACCAGCAGTGACTACCCTCTTTCTATCCCCAGGTGCTTGTCGGAAAGAATGAGGAAGAGAAGGCTGCAAAGAGTGAAGGAGCAAGCAAGTTGGCCGGGCCAGGTGAAGGATGTGTGGGAGGGACTTTGAGGACAGAGCCCAGGCAGAGAGCTCCTGACCCCTGATGCCCTCCTCTCTGAGGAGCAGCCTTTTTCAAGGTCATCTTGCAAAGAATGGGCTTAGTATATGGCCAGCAATGTTTGGGACCACTGAGGTTAAAGAGGAAGCAGATGTTTTGTTTGATTATGGAACTTGCCAGTCTCTACTCATATCATAAAATGGTATGTGCAGATAACATTCACCCAGCACATACTCCCTGAGCTCCTACTGGGTCCCAGGCACTGTTCTAAAGGCTGGGAACACAGCAATGAACAGAACAGAGCCAGATCCCTTCCCTGAGGAGCTGGCATTCCAGAAGGGAAATGGGAAGATTGGCCATGTAACAAGAACAGTTTCTGGTGCTTTACATCCATTTTCTCAATGAATTTTGCCTTTTGCTCTTTTTCCAGTGCCAGGCGTGGAGGAGGAGGAAGAGGAAGAAGAGGAGGAAGGGAGTGTGGGGCATGTGGAACTCCTGCAGGAAGTTGTACCCAAAGAGAAGGTGGTTCCCATCCCTGAGGGCAGCGCTTTCTTCTGTCTCAGTCAAACAAACCCGTGAGCGCCAGGCTGGGCAGGGGGGCTAGGGGGATGGGGCAGCGGGAGGCCAGGGAGCTGCCAAGCAGGGGCAGGGCAGGTTGTATCCCTCAGGTTCTTCCTGTGACTCTGTGGTCCTGGGTTCTGAGCACAGCCCTCTGCCCACTCCCCAGGCTGAGGAAGGCCTGCCACACCCTCATCCACCACCATGTCTTCACCAATCTCATCCTGGTGTTCATCATCCTCAGCAGCGTGTCACTGGCCGCTGAGGACCCCATCCGAGCCCACTCCTTCCGCAATCATGTGAGCCTGTGTCTGGGGGCTAAGGGGCACTCCCAGGGTGTCTTGCTCCGCAAAAGCCAGGTCCAGGGTGGAGACAGGCTGAAGAACCCTAATTGGGCTGAGAAAGAGGATCAATAGCAGCTGCAGTGCCAGCCGATACTGTGTGTGCCACACACTTGGGGAGATGCCAAGCAGGGAGCAATGCTCAACTCAGAGGGCAAGAGGGTTGTGCTCAGAGAGCCTGAGCAGGCCAAGGGCATCCGGGTAGCTGGGTAGAGGCAGTGGAGTTCAGATATGAACCCTAGGGCTGGGGGTATTGCCCAGTGGTAGAGTGCTTGCCTATCATGTACAAGGCCCTGGGTTCCATCCCGAGGACAGAAAAGTAAATAAATAAGCATGGCGTGATGGTACATGCCTGTAATCCCAGCACTTGGAGGAATGTTGTGAGTTTGAGGCCAGCCTGGGATACACAGTGAGTTCAAGGCCAGCCTGAACTACACAACAAAACCCTTTCTCCAAAAGAAAAAGCAGGCATGGTAGCACACTAATCCTAGCACTCTGAGAGGCTGAGGAAGGAGGATAGCAAGTTTGAGCCCAGCCTAGGCAACTTAACAGGACCCTATCTCAAAATTTTTAAAAGAAATTTTTTAAAAGTGGAGGTGCTGAGGATGTAGTTCAGGGCCAAAACCCTGGGTTCGATCCCCAGTACCCCCACACATACACTCACCCCAAATTTGAATCCTAAGAGTGGGAGTATAGCTCACTGGTAGAGCACTTGCCTAGCGTGCATGAGGCCCTGAGTTAGATCCTCAGAACCACAAAAAAAAAAAAGGCCAGGTCCGGGTCTTTAGCTCAATGGCACTGCGCCTGCCTTGAAAATACAAGGTCCTGAGTTCAATCCCCAGTATCAAAAAAAAGAAAAAAGGACCAAATCTGAATGCTTGTACAGAAGTCCCTCATGATAATAAGGGAGAGGCAGGGCAAAACTTACAGAGAGGTACACACATACCTGTAGTCCCTTTCAATTATGACTCAGTGGCTGACCCTCTTCCTCCCTCCCCTAGATTCTGGGGTACTTTGACTATGCCTTCACATCCATTTTTACTGTGGAGATTCTACTAAAGGTGACTAATGTGCCCCTCAGACATACCCTCAGTTACCCCAAAACACCCTACCTCTCCCCACAGCCTGTCTACCTGCTCCCTATCCCCTCTTACCCTCAACTTTCCCCAGGTCTGAGGTCTATCCCAATATCTTCTGGTCCCCAGATGACAGTGTTTGGGGCCCTCCTGCACCGTGGCTCCTTCTGCCGTAGCTGGTTCAATCTGTTGGATCTGCTGGTAGTCAGTGTATCCCTCATCTCTTTTGGCATCCAGTGAGTGACACCACCCCCTGTCTACCCCACTCCTCTGAGAGTCAGGGCTAGACCTGGGTCTGAGGATTGCCCCTTCCCCAGCTCCAGTGCCATCTCAGTGGTGAAGATCCTTCGAGTACTCCGGGTACTGCGGCCCCTCCGAGCCATCAATAGAGCCAAGGGACTGAAGGTGAGCCCATCTCTCCCAGACCCACAGGGCCCTGCCCTGCCTGCCCCTGGGCCAGGATCACTGATCAAACTGATCATTTGCATCAATGCATGACCATGCAGCCTGGACCTGACTCATAGCCACACATCCCGCCCACTCACCATGTGGCCTGACCTATGTTCTGTACAAGTGACCAGACATTCCTTGCCGGTGGCCACATTTCTCTAACTCAGGTCCCTGACATCTGGCTACATATCCTTGCCTGGCAAATGCTTATTCCTGGTTGGTGCCCACACATCCCTATACCACATCACGGCCTTTTGGCCACCTGTTCCTGACCACACATCTCTGGCCCAAGACCCTGAGCAGCATCTGTCACCAGAGTCCCCACCCCCTGTCCACTGTGACCTGCGATGTCCATTAGCCATATGTGTGGATGTGTGCAGCACGTGGTACAGTGTGTGTTCGTGGCCATCCGGACAATCGGGAACATCATGATTGTCACCACACTCCTGCAGTTCATGTTCGCTTGCATCGGTGTGCAGCTCTTCAAGGTAGGGAAATACTGCAGAGAGGCCCAGGGTGAAGTCAGGAGGAGAGGTCAAGTGCAAACCTGCTTGACAGATGTCCTTCCTACAGGGCAAATTCTATGGTTGTACTGATGAGGCCAAACAGACGCCCAAAGAATGCAAGTGAGTGCCTGAGGCCTTGCCCTCCATGGAACCCAGGACCTCTAGACCTCACCAAGGCCCCTAAGACCCCCTAGAACCTCCTCCCAAGAGGTGCAGAGACCCCCTAGATTTCCTCAATGCCCCCAAGAGTTCAAGATGCACCCCCCAGAGCTTTCTCAAGAACTGCAGGGTCCTCAGATCTCACCCAGCCCTCAGATGCCCCTAAGCCCCTCTCCACACTCCCAGAGTTACCTACATTCCCATGCAGACTTGGCATTCTTGCTTCTGCTCCAAGGGTCCAGCTTTCCCCTGCAGAGGGTAGTGGTTACAACATGGGCTGTCAAGACACACATTCCTGGTTCAAACCCGCTTCATGAGGCTTGGGGGTATTTCTTAATGGTGCTGAGTCCCATTTAGCTCAGCTGAAAACTGGGGGTAAAAAGAGCGCCTAACTCCCAAGTTTGTTGTGAAGAATCTTGAGTTAGCACATGGCAAGTAGATTACACTGTAAAGTGATTATGTGAATGCCTAGCACCATACCTGGCATGTAGTTAGTACTAACTAATGGTGGCTGCCATGAAGGGTTGCTTCTCCCATTATCACCAGCATCATCATGAGGGTGATATGGTGCCAACTATGTGCCAGACATTAATCTCATTTAGTGACTTAATTAACCCTTAGGACAGGCCAAGCAATGGGTTCTGCTATTTTGTTCATTTCATACATGGGAGAAATGGAGGCATAGAGAGGTTAAAGGTCCACAGTCACCCAGCCAGGAAATAGAGGGGGAGGGTTTGAACCCAGGTTGTCTAGCTCCACCACCATGCCCTGCTGCCTCCCTGCTAGAGACCCCAGACCCTTTACCACAGCTGCCAACCCTCCTCACCCACCTAGCCTGTCTGCAACATCCACAGGGGCTCCTTCCTGATCTATCCCGATGGAGATGTGTCACGGCCCCTGGTCCAAGAGCGGCTCTGGGTCAACAACGATTTCAACTTTGACAATGTCCTTTCAGCCATGATGGCTCTGTTCACTGTTTCCACCTTTGAAGGCTGGCCTGCGTGAGGAACAGGGCCCTAGGGATGGCATGGGCCTGGGCATGGTCTCAGCGGGATCGGTGGGATCTCCTGGGAATGGGTGGGAGTGTACCTTGGGGATGGAATGTAGGTCTCTCAAGACTGGACAGGATTTTCTGGAGACTAGTGGGTGTGTCGGCACTGGGCAGCATTTTCTCAGAAGCTGGAGACAAGGGCAAGGGGCAAGGGATCTCCAGAATCTGGGTAAAAGTCTCTGAGGCCAAGGAATGGGTGAGTTTAGGGGGACTGGGTCAAGGTCTGAGGGTATTAAAAGGGGAGGTTACTGAGGAGATAGAGCAGGAAGTTCAGGGGTTTCCAGAGAGCTGCACACATCTTTAAAGTACTAGTTGGGGATTTCTAGGGAAAGTGGAGCGGGGGATTCAAGATGATGGGACAGGGGGTGTAGAGGTCTTTATAGGATTCTAGGGGAGTTCCAGGGAGCTAAATGGGGGTCTCCAGGTAGCTGGGTAAGGGGATTTGGAGGTTTGTGGGAGCTTGAGGATTTGTGAGAACTTTGAGAGCCTGAGTGGTGATTCTTTGGAGGACTGTATGGGGTCTCTGAATTCTGAGGAACTGAGACAAGAGATTCAATGCCCTTTGAGGCATCTCTTGGAGGATTATGAAGGTCCCAAGTGGTTAGGTCAGGGACTTAGTCATCTTTGAGGTGCCATACAGAAGGTTGTCTGTCATAAATGGTCTGGGAGCAAATCTGAGGGGCTGGGAATCCCCTCAACTTCTCCCCCACCCCCACTGGCTCCCACAGGCTGCTATATAAGGCCATCGATGCACATGCAGAAGACGAAGGCCCCATCTATAATTACCATGTGGAGATCTCCGTGTTCTTCATTGTCTACATCATCATCATTGCATTCTTCATGATGAACATCTTCGTGGGCTTTGTCATCATCACCTTCCGTGCCCAGGGTGAACAGGAGTACCAAAACTGTGAGCTGGACAAGAACCAGGTGACCTCTGAGCCCTGACCCCCTACTCATAGCTACCAATTTCTCCCCCCTCTGCCTTGGGGTCCCCTACTCATTCATGCCCTGCACCGGTACACAGCGCCAGTGTATGGAGTATGCCCTCAAGGCCCAGCCACTCCGACGATACATCCCCAAGAACCCACAGCAGTATCGTGTGTGGGCCACTGTGAACTCTGCTGCATTCGAGTATCTCATGTCCCTGCTCATCCTGCTCAACACAGTTGCCCTAGCCATGCAGGTCTGTGCTCCCCATTTTGATCTTGATCTCTGCCAGAAACCTGCCCCTATTCTCTCCCCACAGTCTCTTGGGAACCATTAGGAATTCCTTAGGCTGCAAGTAACAAAACCTCCTGACAGACTTAAACCATAAAGACATTTCCTATATTTCTTCAAACCTGAGGCCAAGAATTGTAAATTATATTCTGATTCCATAGATGTAAGAATGAGAAAACAGTGGTCCATGGCTATTGTAAGTTGTCATTAATTGTAGAATGCACTCCAATTTCAGAAATTCTAAAATGTAAAAAGATGTACATCCTAGAATCAGTGAAATGTGGTAATTACCTCACACAATGAGAAGCATAGAGGTAGGATGTTTATTCATTGCTGATCACAGAGCCAGAGTATCTTTCTGCTTCATTATTCTTGGCAAGTTGGCTTTCATTCTCATAGTTGTTTCATGGTCACAAGACAGATGCCATAGCTCCAGACATCAGAACCACATTAAAAGCAGGAAAAAAGAGAGAGTTGCACCAAGGGACTCTCTTTATTTGAGCATTTTAATGGAAAGAAAATATTTTTCACAAAAGCTTTCCACCAGCAACAGACTTATATTTATGTCTCATTAAGAAAATTGGCTTTTCCTGTCTGCAAGAAAAACTAGGAACCAAGAAATGGGCTTTCCAGTATCCATAATGGGAGGAAAACAACAAAAGGGGTTTGCCCAACCCATAGTGCAACCATGTTCTCAGACTCACTTCAACCCAGGCCAGGGAGTATCTGGTTGGGGGTGGGAATTCTCTGCTTCAGACTCTGTCTCTGCCTGATTTTCTCCCCTAGCACTATGAGCAAACTGCTCCCTTCAACTATGCCATGGACATCCTCAACATGATCTTCACTGGCCTCTTCACTATTGAGATGGTGCTCAAAATCATCGCCTTCAAACTCAAGGTGCCCACTAGACCTGGTCTTCCCAACCCTGGACCTACCCTCAGTGAGCAGATTCCTTGGGAGGGAGCACATTCTAGAGCTCTAGAGGGGGTAACAACCAGGAAGTCATGAGACTAGGGAGTGAGAAGGAGCCGGGCACAGGCCCACATGGGGTCTGAGGCAGCCCCAGCCTCTCTGATACCCCCTTCCACTACTGACCCCCTATGCTACAGCACACTGCTTTCTTCCTGCCTACAGCATTACTTTGCCGATGCCTGGAACACGTTTGATGCCCTTATTGTGGTGGGCAGCATAGTGGACATTGCCGTTACTGAAGTCAATGTGAGGACTGGCCCTCCACTGACCCACTCCCCCCACAACCTCTCCCCACATCACCATCCCAGGGTATCCTTCACATGGGTGGGTGGCTCCACTTACAGCCTTTCCCCTCTGGAGACTCAGCACTCCTCCTTGTAGCTCTCTCTCTTCTATGTCCCTGTTGGGCTCAGCCAAAGGCCCCCTCTCCCTTCCCTATGCTATGTTGCACTAGCACCGCAATCTCCTAAATGCTTCTCCTGTTATTTCTGTGGCCACTTTCATTGCCTCCACCTCTCCCCTCACTGGCTGCTCATCTCCACTGACTCCTGCTTTGGTTTCATCATCTCTTCTGACTACTCCATTGGCTTCATCTCCACCACCAAATTCATCATCTCTCTTTTTCACGGCTGTCACCACCACTAACTGCATCACTGGCGCCTTCATCTCCTCCATTGGGTACTGCATGGCTCTATCACTCGACCAACAATGCTGCCGGCTCCCGGTCGGATCTCCATCGCTGGCTTCCCCACCGGTTCTCATCTCCACAATACACTGGCCCCACCGCTTTCTCCACTGGCTCCGATCTCTCTCCTCCATCATCTCCGTTACCCTCTCCTTTCCCTCACCCTTATTAACAACTTTTTCCACAACCATCTCAATCCACTACCACATACCTTTCCACCTCACCCCCGTATCTGTTTCATGATTTCTCCCCTTGTCCATCTACAATGACCTCATCATTTCCTCTGTCACCTGTTTTGGCCATATCTCCCCTCAGAATGGTGGCCACCTTGGTGAGGTAGCTCCCCCCACAACAGGGACACTGTTTTTCCTCCTTCCTTCCCTTCCTCCCTAAGAGTTCTTAGAAATGCTCCCTGAGCCAGGTGTGGTGGCACATACTTGTAATCCCAGCACTCTAGGAGGCTGAGGCAGGAGGATTGAAAGTTTGAGCCTGGCCTAGGCAACCTAGCAATTTATCGAGACCCTGTCTCAAATTTAAAATACAATAAAAGGGCTGGAGTGTAAAAAGTTGCAGTGCAAAAGTTCTGGGTTTAATCCTCAGTCCTGAGGGGGAAAAAAAGGAAAAGAAATGCTTCCTGACCGCTCTGAGGCCTGAGACAGGGAGGTGGCTGCAGTGTGAACTGAGCCATCCCCACTGCCTCCCCAACCCCAGAGCTCTGAGGACAGCTCCCGCATATCTATCACTTTCTTTCGCCTCTTCCGAGTCATGCGGCTGGTCAAACTTCTCAGTAAGGGTGAAGGGATCCGTACACTGCTCTGGACATTCATCAAATCCTTCCAGGTAATCCCCTACTCCAACCCTTCGGCCAAACCTCAACCCCACCTCACACCTCTCAGACTGCCCTGTTACTACTCTCCTAGCAAGCCATCCCCATTTCCAGCTTCCTTGCTTTTCCTAGGTTCTCAGTTCCCAACATGCCTCTGAGCTCACGGAATTTACCCCATTCTGCTTAACACTGTGTCCATATTTGGGGAGACACTCTGAGCACTCTGAGGAAAGACTGAGTCTCCTAGTAGGCCCAAGCCAGAGGGAGAACTGCATTCTCAGGCTTACAGTTAGTTCTCTGCCTGGACCTAAGTATCTATCTCCCCCATCCCTGCAGGCCTTGCCCTATGTGGCTCTTCTCATAGCAATGATATTCTTCATCTATGCTGTCATTGGCATGCAGGTCAGTGGGGAGAGTTCCTTGGGCACCCCTCTGCTGGAGAAGGGGGGTGGTCACTGGATAAGAATAGCTCCTAAGTGAGGGTGCTAGGTAGAAAGATAAACAGGAGCCAGGGATTTAGCTCAGTGGTGCTGCCGTGCCTGCCTCGAAAATGCAAGGTCCTGAGTTCGATCCCCGGTACCAAAAAGAAAAAAAGAAAGATAAACAAACTGGATAACCCTGGGTCAATCTACACACCTGTGAAATGGGATCAGCAGCGCCTGCTTGTCAGGGTTTTGAGGATTCACTAGGGCTCAGGAGGCGACAACATGTGGGTTGGAACGTGTCAGGGCACAGGTTCACCCCCTGTGTGGCCCACAGATGTTTGGCAAGGTGGCTCTTCAGGATGGCACACAGATCAACCGAAACAACAACTTCCAGACCTTTCCACAGGCTGTGCTACTTCTTTTCAGGTGATATCTTCTCATTTCCCCACCACCTCAGTCCCCAGCATGCCAGTGGGTGCCCACACATCCTCTCTAGACTCCAGACTTCCTGGGCTATGAAAATAACAAGGCGGCAAGGGGCTCCGTACAGCTGAGACCTTTTCTGGCTGTGATCTGAGGAGTCTTCTGGCTGTAAGATGCACCCCCTCATTAGTCTGCAGTGCCCTAACCTGTAAGATGCAGGCATGACCACATCCACATGGCTGTGCCAGCTATTACAATTCTGAAAGGCTGTTTGTAGCAGGTGCAGCCCTGATAGAAGTGGGGCATCTCCTCAGTCCCCCAGGCCCCACAACACCACTTGCCATGACTTCATAGCCTTTCCTCAAGGATGTCACTCCTGTGTAACCCCTCCCACACCAGGTGTGCCACTGGTGAGGCATGGCAGGAGATAATGCTTGCCAGCCTTCCTGGAAATCGGTGTGACCCAGAGTCTGACTTCGCCCCCGGCGAGGAGTTTACCTGCGGGAGCAATTTTGCCATTGTCTATTTTATCAGCTTCTTCATGCTCTGTGCCTTCCTGGTGAGGACCATTTCCCCACAACTGCCAACACTGCCATGGCACTGGCCCTGGGGGGCTCAGGGGTGTGCAAATATGAAGCAGACAGTCCAGCTCTTGGGAAGTTGGTCTGCCAACAAGGTCAACCATGGGACTTGGGACCCAGTGAACACATAAGATAACTCCAGCCTTGCATAAACACTATGAGTCTACTCGGCCTCTTATCTAACCCCCCTTGTTCCCTGGCCCACAGATCATAAATCTCTTTGTGGCGGTGATCATGGACAATTTTGATTATCTAACCAGAGATTGGTCCATTCTGGGCCCACATCACCTTGATGAATTCAAGAGGATCTGGTCTGAATATGACCCTGGGGCCAAGTATGCCTTTAAATCCCTTATCTGGAATCCTGGGGACAACACACTGCCCTCCACAGGCCCCTAGCCCCAGAACCTCTTACCTGCGCATCCCATTACCCAGTCAATAGATACCCCAAGTTTCCCACTGCCCCATCCTCTGGGCCTTGGGGTATTGGTGGGAGGAGGCAGTGAGGAGCTGGTGGACCCTTGAGAAAGAGGTAGAGGGGTATTGTCAATCTATTGGTACCTCTCCAACTGCCCCAGGGGCCGTATCAAGCACCTGGATGTGGTTGCCCTGCTGAGATGCATCCAGCCCCCCCTGGGATTTGGGAAGCTATGCCCACACCGAGTGGCCTGCAAGGTCTGTGCACCTGTCCATCCCACTGGCCCCTGGGAGGCTGTCCACTACATGAGGGGCTACGCATGCTCAGAACCTGCTATGGCTGGGGATGAGTGGTCACATCCTCCAAGGTTTCTGTCCTGGGTATTGATGCCTACAGACAGACCTGGCATTTTCCCAGAGTCAGTTCATGTCTCGGGTGTTTGCAGAGACTTGTGGCAATGAACGTGCCCCTCAACTCAGATGGGACAGTGACATTCAATGCCACGCTCTTTGCCCTGGTTCGGACATCCCTGAAGATCAAGACAGAAGGTATGGAGGGGAGGGCTAGAAATGGGAGAGTTCCTGGGGCAGGTGCAGAGAGCAAATTCAAGTGACAGACCCCATTTTCTGGGTGACTGGTTTCCCTAGGCCTGTCCCCTGCTCCCATCCAATGGGGCAGCGTACAGCTGTGGTAGAAACTTCTGTAAAGGTTCTTCCTACTTGCTCTGCCCACACTCTCCTCAATGCAGGAAACCTGGAGCAAGCCAACCAGGAGCTGCGGATGGTCATCAAAAAGATCTGGAAGCAGATAAAGCAGAAGCTATTGGATGAGGTCATCCCTCTTCCAGAAGGTGAGTTGCCCTCGCCCCAATGCCTTGAGCCTAGATGATTGCTTCAATGTCAGATGATTGTTTTCCACCACAAAACCAGCACAGGTCCAGGCCAGAAGGAACCCTTGCTGATTGGTAGGAATTAGGGAGGTAGGGGAGGAAGCACAGAGGACCCCTGGAAACCAAACCGCCAGGCATTCACTTGGAATGTTATATTCACTGCAGGAAGGGTCTGGACCAGAAAGTTCTGGGTAGTATATTTGGCAATTGAAATTGTCCCTTTGCCACTTTTTATATTAAAATTAATTTGGTGAACTTTTCTTACCCAATCCTTTTAGATTTATTGATTTCTTCAGTTACATATTCTGTTTAATGTACTTACTTGGACTTACACTTCTGAACCGTGAATACTCCCAAATCAATATGTTTGGCATGATGAAATATAAGTGTGCTGTTAAAAATCTTTTCTCAGGTCGGGGATTTAGCTCAGTGGTGCCGCTGTCTGCCCCACAAGCACAAGGTCCCAAGTTCGATCCCCAGTACCAAAAAAAAATCTTTTCTCTTCATGAAGTATCTACTTTGCCTTTTCTCCTTTGTCCCCAGAGGAAGAGGTTACTGTGGGCAAATTCTACGCTACATTCTTGATCCAAGATTATTTCCGCAAATTCCGGAGGAGAAAAGAAAAGGGGCTACTGGGAGCTGAGGCCCCCTCAAGCATGTCTTCTGTCCTTCAGGTCTTTGGGGTGGGGTCTGGTATGGCTGAAGATGACATTCTTCTTGATCTCATGAAACCTATATTACAGATTTGGAAACCATGGTCCCAGCCCCCACATACACACTCCTGCCTGGGAAGCAAGCCCATGGAGGGGAAGTTTAGATCCTGAGCACTCCACTATCCAATTTTTCCACCCCTACAGGCGGGCCTGAGGAGCCTACAGGACTTGGGTCCTGAGATGCGGCAGGCCCTCACCTGTGACACGGAGGAAGAAGAGGAGGAAAAGGAGGAAGAAAGGCAAGAGGGAGTGGAGGAGGAAGCTGAGAAGGACCCAGAAACATACAAAGTGAGGACAACTTTTCACTCCCCCAGAAACTCTTGTTTTTTGGTACCGGGAATTGAACTCGGGTCCTTGCGCTTGCGCAGCAGGCTGCGAAACCACTGAGCTAAATCCCCGGCCCTCCCCCAGAAACTCTTGATTGTAAAGTATTCCCTCAACCCTGAGTGACTTTGACACTGTCTCTGAGAAGAAGCCCCCAAGATGGGCCCCCCACCACAATGGAAAAAGTTATTCCAAACCTACCTTTGGCTGTTGGGAAGCTGATTCCGCCTCCGAGGTGCTCATGGACCACCATATGACCAAGTGACTTAGCTGTAACATTAATGAACACTCAGGCCTTTGACTCTCCACAGGGCCCTGTGGGTTCCCAGCCCTCATCTCACTCCAGGATTTCTGTGTCTCTGCCTGTTGGGGACAGCCTCCCAGATTTGCCCTCCCCTAGGCCCAGTGATGAAGATAGAGGGGATCCCAAATCCAGACACCCCAGTGTGCCCCAGCCTGGATCCCATAGCCACAGGTATGGTCAAACATCTGAGGAAAGGTTGTGAGGGCTGGGGATTTAGCTTAGTGGTTCCAGCACCTGCCTTGCAAGTGCAAGGTCCCAAGTTCAATCCCTGGTGCCCCCACGCACAAAAAAAAGCATTCAAGTGAGGAAAGGTTGTGAGGGGAAGCAGGGACAAGACACTGTATCAGAGGGCATGGGAGGAGTGCCTAGAGGCCTTCAAGTAGAAATCTGGGAAGGATGGAGGTGTTTCAAGGGCTCAGGTGGGAATAAAGGGTAACTACAGAGTCTTATGAGAAAGGCAATATAAAGGTTTAATGAAAAAAGCACATGCTCGTTGTGGTGGTGCACACCTGTAATCCTAGAAGTTAGGAGGCCAAGGCAGGAGGATCATAAGTTCAAGCCCAACTTGGGCATTTTAACACCTTAGCAAGACCCTGTCTCAAAATAAAAAATAACAACGTCTTAGGATGTAGCTCAATGCAAAGACCTTGGGTTGAACCTCCAGTACCAGAAAAAAAAATCATAAAGCCCAGTGTATAAAAGATGGGGCCTGAGGGCCGGGGATTTAGCTCAGTGGTTCTGCCGCCTGCCTCGCAACCAGAAGGTTCCAAGTTCAATCCCTGGTACAAAAAAAAAAAAAAAAAAAAGGGTGGGCCCTGAGATGATAGGAACAGGGGCCCAGGGCCACATACTGGGGGAGGTCTGCCTAAAATGCCTCACTTTCTCCAGGAGAAGCTCTGGGGTTCTCATGTTCACCATCCCAGAGGAAGGAAGTCCTGAGCCCAAGGGAACTAAAGGTCATGACAAACAAGATGAGGAAGGAGAAATCCCTGACCGGTACCCTGGCCATGCCACCTAGGATAAGCTGTGGGGGGCGGGGGGACTGTGAGTACCCCAACTTGGAGTCCAGACCTGGACTGAGTACCCCAGCCCTCCTTCTACACAGGCTCTACTACCTGGATGAGCAGGCAGGGACTCCCCCACGGACTCCCCCACACTCAGTCCTTTTGCCACCTCACCGACCCCAGAGATATGGCAATGGGCACCACATGCCACGGCGACGTCTGCTGCCCCCTACACCTGCAGGTGAAAGTGGGGTTGGCCCCAGCCCCTGCCAAGGGCCAGCTGAACAGAGAGCCAGGGAGGCACTGCCAGTGTTCTTTGCTCCCAGGTCAGAAGCCCTCCTTCCCTATCCAGTGTCTGCAACGCCAGGGCAGTTGTGAAGATTTACCCATCCCAGGCACCTATCATCGCGGACAAAAATTGGGGCTGAGCAGGGCTCAGGTGAGCTAGGGGAGGGCTGTTGGGACCTCCAAGGGTGTGGGGAAACCTAGGCTGAACTTCTCAAACACACTGCATTCAGGCCCTTCTGAAGAATGAACACACATGCAGGAATGCACTTACTCTTCCTTTACTTATGAGGTAGGTACTACTACTACCAGTTTACAGATGAGGAGACCGAGGCCCAGAAAAGTTTATTCACCCAAGATCCCATAGCCAGTAAGCAGGAGAGCTGACACTTAAACCTTCCTTTGCTCTGCCATAAACTCAAGTCTGGGGCTGGGGGTGCAGCTCAGTGGTAGAGAATTTGTTTAGCATGTACAAAACCCCAGGTTCCATCCCTAGCATCATAAATAAATAAATATAAACAAACTCAAGTCCGGTATACACCCACACAGTTTGACTACAGTTCCGCATTGGAGGAGAGGGACAGGACTCACAGGAATGAGTCCTAGACCCTCACCCTCACCCCTCAATCCCTGCCCCTATGTTTATTCTGGTCCAGGGTTCCTGGGCAACCCCTCCTCAGAGAGGTCGGCTCGTGTATGCACCACTGCTGGTGGTGGAGGAGGGTGCGGCTGGAGAGGACTACCTGGGTAAATCTGGAGGTCCTCTGCGCACTTTCACCTGCCTGCATGTGCCTAGAACCCACTCCAACCCCAGCTACAGCAAGAGGAGCAGTGCTGACAGCTTGGTGGAGGCTGTAAGTCCAGAGGGGGTGTGGGCAAGAAGGTGTGATGGACAAGAAGAAGAGGTGGGAGCTAGGGGAGGAGGGGGACTGGCTCCCCCAGCTCTGTGTTGTACATGTAGGCATCCCTCTGCTCAGCCTGATGTGCAGACTGCTGCCCCTGCACTTCCCTGTGCACCCTCATGGGCACATCATTTACCCACACTGACCCCTCTGTACACACAGTGCCCTTGGCCAACATTGATCCTACCTGTCCTCCTAGGTGCTCATCTCTGAGGGCCTTGGCCTCTTTGCTCAAGATCCTTGCTTTGTGGCCCTGGCCAAGCAGGAGATTGCAGATGCGTGTCGCCTGACACTGGATGAGATGGACAGTGCCGCCAGTGACCTTCTGGCACAGGGGACCTGCTCACTCTATAGTGATGAGGAGTCTATCCTTTCCTGCTTCGATGATGACGATCTGGGAGATGAAATGGCCTGTGTCCATGCCCTCTGAATTTCCACCCCTCCCCTACTGCTCAATAAATCTCCTGCCCTTCCCTCCCAGAGGGAGACAGGCATGGACCACACACAGCTGGATTTTGGTTTCTTTGCACTGAGGGCCTGAGGCTACACTGTAGTCCCCAGCCAGCCATCCACCCATCCATCCCCAGTTCCAGCCCTGAGCCACTGCCCACACACTGGTATTTCCAGAAACCAGGACAGCTAGGCCTGATTATTCAGTGCCAGGAAAAGAGGGAAGAGGAGGAGGAGGAAGAGACAGCAGCCAAAAAAAGCTGGAGACAGAGTGGAGGTGGTGGGGGAGGGGAGCACTGGGCAGAAATGGAGAGAAAGGATGTCCGGGTTGGAGGGGGGGGTCTTGAACGGGAGCATAAAGCAGAGATTCCTCAAGGGTCAGTCAGGCCAGACTGAGGAAGGGCAGACAGATGGGCAGGAATGGATAAAGAGACCCATAGGACAGTCCTGCCAGTCTGGATGTTGGAGTTGGCCTCATATATGATGTGTCTTAGGCCAAGGGGGTACTGTGATGGCATCAGGAATTTCAGGGAAGCTAAATTAGGATCACACTATCTCCCTCCTCCCACCTTCTGCCCAGGAAAGAGAAAAAAACTAAATCTATTGGTAGACGATGTCAATGACCCTTGGGGAACTCACCCAGGGCTCCCCCTTATCTTCCTGAAACCACCTAAGACCCATGCACTCTCCTCTCACACAAATCCCTCCCCAGCTCCTCTTCCCGCTTCTTCCTCCACCTTTGCTCATTGCCCCCCTTGGGGTCTCATTCACTCAGGGAGTGTTTATCAAGCATTTACTGTGTGCCAGGCCACCATGTTGGGTTTCCCTCTGGGCAAACATATGACAATGTTTATCCACACTGGGAGTCAGCTCCACTGCAAAGCAAATGGAGGCTGCACAGTGACTCAAGGATGGGGCCACCACTGGGGAGGGTCCTGACTTAGGGTCTTCTCCTCACTCTCAGAGCAGGGTTTTCTCAGTCCTATAATTTGTATCAATCAGGCCAGGACTAAAATTTGGAGGAAGTCAGAATTGAAGGCTAGCACTCTGAACAGAGAAGTGGGTGGCTAGAAATGGTTGGGCTGGTGTCAGGTGGGATAGTAAATCAGCAGAGACTGAAGGGAGACAGCTGAGGAATGAAGTGGGAGAGGCCACCTGAGACCAGCTCTTGCAGAACCCTGAATGCCAGGCCACAGTATGTTGCATTTCTTTCCTAAGAGCATGGGGAATCATGGGAGGGACTTGAGTAGGGTAGTGACATGGTTAACTTTACATTTTAAATAGATGCTCTGATGCCTATGCTGAAAACAGAAGGGAGGGGGAAGAGACTGGAGGTGCTAAAATTGGCAGAAATGATGGTCGCCTTACCCAAGGGAGGTGACAGATGAGATGGTGAGAAGTGAGTGGATTGCAGTGAAGTGAAGGAGACAAAGCGAACTATTTTGGAGGCCCTGTGCTAGATACATTACAGTGATTACCTTGTTTAATCAGTACTACAATCCTATATACACCATTTTAAACCATCTTACAAGTCCAAAGCCAAACAAGAATAAATTAATTAGAGATGGGATTCAAATTCAAGCAATTGAATACCAAAACCCATGCTCTTAAGCTCTCCTGTGTACTGCTTCTCTTGATAAGGCAACAACTGGGAAGTATCTATTAAATATTTGTGTGGTTTGTGTTTTGAAATAAGCATACATTCAGATATTTCAAAATTCAAAAGATACAAAGGGATATCAACTGAAAAGCTCCCTTTTCCTCTGAAGGTAGCCAGGGTTACCAGGCTTCTTTCACAGATGTATAAGATGATGTGCTAGTAGATTATCACTATTTTAGTAACTTTTGTATACATTTCTCTTAGTGTGAGATTGCACATCCTGGCTGGGAATTTAGCTCAGTGGTTCCGGTCCCTGCCTCGCAAGCGCAAGGTCCCGAGTTCAATCCCCGGTACAAAAAAAAAGGAAAGAGAGATTGCACATCCTAAGCCCCAACTGTATTTTATCCATTGGATTTTGCAACATGGCGATCACCATTGACAATGATAGGCCTAGCATGGGGGTGTGGGGGTCCAATTAAGAGAGGGCTGAGGAGTAACTAGGACGTAAAGTGTAGAGCTGCCGCAGGCAAGAATTTGACCAAGAGGAATGAAGAAAGGAGATGGCTGGAAGGAAGAGTTGTTGTTTGAGTGTACTTAAAATGCAGACTTTCAAAAAGTAATGCTCAAGATCTTAAACTATGTTTAAGCTGCAGAGACGCTGAGCACTGCCAATTATCAGCTGAGCGACTCTGTGCAAGTCACTTAACCTCTCTGGGGACTCATTTTCCTTTGTAAAAACAGGGCTAAAGGTGCTTAATACACAGAAATTAAATGGAACACATTTAGCAAACTCAAAAGAGACGTTGGTAAAACGCCATACTGGAGGACTGAGTAGTCCTCTACCTAGAACTCCACCTATGTTTTCAGACAACGACGTTCTCAGAACGGCCTCCAGGACCCAGGATTTAGGATCTAGGCTGGAAGGGCGGCGGACAAGACCGGGAATGGCCCGTTGTGCGCAAGCGCGAGCGGCTCCCGCGAAGGGGGTGCGAGGGGCGGAGCTACCGCCGCCTGGGCTGTTCCGACGATCGCGCCCGCCCCCGCCGCGCCCCGCGCCCGCCCTTGCTAGCAGGCACTTTCCGCCCCCTGCATTGCTGCTGCTGCTGCTGGCAGACATGGACGTGGTGAATCAGGTACGCGCTCCAGCACCGCGGACAGAGCCTGCCGCTTCCAGGCCCCCAGACTCAGAGGTGGTGGCTAGGGTCCTTAACAGCAGAGACCTGGTCCCCAGTGCTGAGGCTGGGGGTCTGCGGCAGGTGAGGGGAGGACGAAGGAGCTGGAGAAAAGAAGCGGTGCGCTCTTTGCCGCAGCGAGGGCCGTGAGGGCCGTTCTCCACTGCCGCAGCGGGGGCTGCCAGAAGCCTCCATCATTATTGGCGACCTCGAGGGGAGCAGAGGGGTCTCGGTTTGGGGTAGGCAAGGGGCAAGGGAGAGGAGAGTGGGTGGAAGACGGGGGGGGCTGCAGATGAGCTAGGAAATAGAGCGACAGAAGGGGTGGGGGTGGGGTGGGGGAGAGCTGGCACCCGCCCCTCCCAGAGACTGCACCCCAGTAAATGACCACCCCTTCCCCCAGAGGGGACCTAGGGAGACCATCGGATTTTGCCTCTCCAAAAGCCCCAGGCTCCTCTCCCTCAACTCATCCAGTGAGGCCATGTCCCACCTCTCCCCCACCTTAGTTCAGACCCTCTCCGCCATCTCAGTCTTCTTCACCACCTCGGAATCTCACCCCCTCCCTACCCAGTACCAACTGGTCCCCATTCCCATCTCCTCAGACCCCCTCCACCATCCTACTCACCTTTCCTGCTGCAGATCCCTCCCCCATCCTAGCCACCCCGCCTGCCGCCTTGTTATGACTCACCTTCATCACTTGAGACCCTCCCCCACCTCAGTGAACCCCAACTCCTTCCTCACCCTCTTCACACAACCTCCTTCGCTCTCTGGTTCACCTTTAAGGCTTCCAGACCTTCCTCCCCTAACTAGTCCAGACCCCATCCTCACCTTCCTCACCCCTGACCTCCTCTGCTGTCTGACTCACCATCACCCCAGACTTCACCACTCCAGTACCCTGGGGTCTTCTGACAAAGACCCTGGTGCTCACATCTTCCCCAAGGTGTCACTTTCTCCTCACTCCCTGTCCAAATGTCACTCCTTTCCAGAGGTCACATGCCCCATCCCCAGGGGTCACCACCTGGCAGTCTTGCCCCCCACCTCCCTCTCTATACCCCACAACCCCACACCCTCCCCACTGTTTCTCTCCTCAGCTGGTGGCTGGGGGTCAGTTCCGGGTGGTCAAGGAGCCCCTTGGCTTCGTGAAAGTGCTGCAATGGGTGAGTGTGGTCTGGGTCAAGGGAGGCAGTGCAGGGAGAGAGGGAGGGAGTGGATCTGGAAGAGCAGGAGCAGAGAAGGGGTGGAAGGGGATGAGGGAACGGGGCTCCAGGGAGAGGTCCCAGGGGTCTGAGGCCAGAGGATGGATGAACTGTTGACATCACCTAGGGCTGAGGGTAACCCCGTTGTGAAGTGACAGAATGTGACATCCTACCTCCTTTCTTGAAGTGAGGGAAGGGTGGGGGAGGTGGAGCTTGAAGCTGATTACTGGGGAAGAGATGCAAAGTCAGAGACCCAGAGACAGTGAGGGAGACAGAATGAGAGACAGGGCCTAGTGGAGACAAAGTTGGAAATACTGTGGGGGGAAAAAAGATGAGAGAAAAGACAGAGAAAGGAGACAGAGAAAGATGCAAAGGGAAATAGACACAGGGAGAGAGGCAGGAAATGGGGGGCAGAGAGAAAAAAAGAGAAAAGGAAAAAGCAACACACCAGGAAAGAGGCACAAGAGAGACAGCAAGAACCATACAGAAATTGCATAAGAGACAGCAGAGATGAAGACAGTCTATGAACAGAAAGACACCAACATAGAGACAGAGAAGAAAGAGACACCCAGCGATGTGAGGACAGAGGCAGAGAGAATCAAGACACAGGCCAGGGATTTAGCTCAGTGGTTCTGCCGCCTGCCCCACAAGCGCAAGGACCTGAGTTCAATCCCCAGTACCAACAAAAAAAAAAAAAGAAGAGAATCAAGACACGTAAAGAGATACTGAGAGAACTAGAGACACAGAAAACAACAGAGACAGAGACAAGCGAGAGAGATGGGGGAGGGAGGCTAGAGCATGGAGAGGTAGGGACAGAGCACATGGAAAGAGAAGGAAAGACAGCCACACCCCTATAATCAGCTTGTGCTTGGACTGGATGAGCCCTGATTAGGGGGCGGGGTGGGGACCTCTCCATCTGCTGCTGCCTGTGCTGGGCCCCGATCTGTCCGTACGAGGGCACCACCCTCACACATGCACACAGCCTCTCTATGACCATCCCCATCCTTGCTACCCAAGGTCTTTGCCATCTTCGCCTTTGCCACATGCGGCAGCTACGACGGGGAGCTCCGGCTGAGCGTGGAGTGTGCCAACAAGACCGAGAGTGACCTCAGCATTGAGGTTGAATTTGAGTACCCCTTCAGGTGTGCCCCCACCCTAGGATGCCCATAAACCTGAGAGAGGTGGGGGTTGGGGGTGGGACTGGCCAGTGTACCTCCTTCCCAGTGGCCCTTGCCCAGCCCCACCCCAAGAGGGCACAACCACTGGGATCACTGCCCATGCACTGAGCACCTGCTACGTACCTGGCACTGCTCTGGATATCTGGGACCATGTGGTGAGCAAAACAGACACAGGCTGTCACCCTCTGGTCTGTTCCAGTGAAGGGAAAGGGTAGGGAACAGGCAATAAACAAAATTCAAAAGTAAAAGACAGGGTTGGGGATGTAGTTCAGTGGTAGAGCACTTGACTGACATCCACAAGTCCTTGGGTCCCATCCCCATCACCATTAAAGGAAAAAAAAATATATATATATATATGCATACCTTATGTACATATATATAGGCCTTAATGCAACAGATGCTCAATGTTAGTCAATATTATTTATTACTTAACCCTCATTCATTCACTCATTCCATACCCATTTCTTTGGACAACCTATCATTTGCAAGATACTGTCCATATGGGGACATAACGGTGACTAAGCTCCCTACCCAGACCAAGCTCCCTACTCATACCGAGGATTTATGATAACAAATAAATTAATAAAGAAGATAATTGCAGATGGAGAGAAATTCTTCTAGGTAGGGATCCTCATCCAGGGGTTTCTTTTTTTTTTTTTTTGGTACTGGGGATCGAACTCAGGACCTTGTGGTTGCTAGGCAGGCCTGGCGCCAGTGAGCTACATCCCTGGCCCTAGGGTTTTCTGATAGAGAAGTGACAGGGTGCTGCTTAGATATAGGAGATGATGAAACCCAATTCCACAATTCTGACACTTATTGAGCTTACACTGTGTGTGGGACACTGTCCTGGATGCTAGTTGCATGAATGCGAGCACAAGCTGGCGTGGTCTGAAGCTCCTGAAGAGTGGGGAGACAGACCCATAGACACGATGTCACAGAAGAGGCTCCTCTTCTACTTAGCCAAATCACCCAGCCACACTGTGTGTTCATCTGTAAAAGGGATGATGATAATGCCCACCCCGCAGGATTGTGGTGAGTCTTAAATGAGTTAGTATTTGTAAAGTGCTTAGTCCAGTGCCTGGCACACGAAAACCATTCCATAGGTGTTGGTTAAATAAGTAAAAGAAATCAGTTTTAGGGCTGGGCATGGTGGCACACATCTATAAGCCCAGGTACTCGGGAGGTTGAGGTTGGAAGATTGCAAGTTCAAGCCCAGCCTGGCAACTTAAGCAAGACCTTGTCTCAAAATAAACCAATAAAAGGGATGGGGATGTAGATAAGTGGCAGAGCACTTGCCTAGCATGTGCAAGGCTCCAGAGTCAATCCCCAGTACCACCAAAAAGAATAAATAGATAAAAAATAAATTAGAAATCAGTTTTAGGAACTCAAGGAAGAAGTCAAGCATTGACCTGGAAACTAGGGGTTTGGGAGTGCTAAGGGTCAATGTAAGCCCAAGAGATCACTCAGTGGGGAGGGGGAGAAATGAAAGTAGAGGAAAGCCCAACACAGGCCCTGAGCGACAATGGAAAGTAGAGAAAGTTCCAGGAATGCATGGCTTGGGAGAGGTAGAGAGACAACCAGGAATCCATTGGCTCACAGAAGCCAGGGAGAAAAGTTTGGGGAAGGAGGGGTAGTTGGCAGCATGGGATACTGCTTGGAACCAGCCCTTTGGAGACCTAGAAGATCACAGAGGAACCCACAAGATCCCCTATCAACTTCTCCATGCCTCCCACACCTAGGACCTGGGGTCTAAGGATCTGCCCTCTACCCACAAGTCTCCCAGGAAACAGATTTTATGCTGAGTCCTGCTGAACACTCCCCCTACACTGCCTTGATACTTCCTAAGGACCCCTTCTTCCCCCTTTAGATACCCTCTCTCCTACTAGAAATATAGAAACTCAAACCCGGATTCACCTCCTTGTACAGCCTTGAACAAGTAGCTTAATTTTTTTTTTTTTGGTACTGGGGATCTAACTCAGGACCTTGCACTGTGAGGCAGGCGGCAGAACCACTGAGCTAAATCCCGGGCCCACAAGTAGCTTAATTTTGCTATGCCTCTAATTGCTCGTCTTTAAAATGGGTATAAGAATGCCCTCTTTAAGACAGTGGTATCATTAAATGACACAATTATGTGAAATGGTTAGTAGGAGACCAATAAATGTAAGCCCTTTCCCTCAGGACCTTTTCTACACAAGGACACCAGCACCATTTGCCCACTCAGAATCCTGCCCCCCAGTCTGAGGCCAGAGCTCTGGGCCCCCCCTCTAGTCCTTCTCCTCACACACATTTCCCCCTACAACCCTTCCCTTCATCACACCACAAGAAAGCCTTAGTCCCAGGACACTGTCCCACACTGCCCCTTGCCTCACACACATCCTGTCCCAAGGTCCCTGTTGCCCCCCTTTCTGTCAGTCTGTCTTTTCCAGTTTTGTAGCCCCTGGGTTTTCCTCTGTTCTACATATATGTTTTTCCCCCTCTCTCAGGGACTGGAAGTGGGATAGAGAGAAGAGTCAACATGATATAGGGGAGAAACAGGGTTCAGACCCCAAGTCTGTCACTCCCTTGCCAGGCATGTGACCTTAGGCAAGTTAATGTGCTCCTCTGAGCCTGTCTGCACCTCCTACATCTCATCCAGTAAACATTGCTTGAGCACCTATTAGGCAACAGGCCCTGGGGATACAGCAGTGAACAAAACAGTGGGAAAAGCCCTGCCCTCTTGTGGTTACAGCAAAAATCAAGACTATAAAACCTGGGATGTCACATGGAGATCCCTGCTTCAGAGGAAAATGGAGCAAGGAAGGGGATTAAGGAGCACTGTAAACAGTAAGACCCAGGAAGGCCTCACTGAGATGGTGACAGCTGAGCAAAAAAACCTCAAGGAGATGGGGGAGTAAGACATGTAAATATCTAAGGGAAGAGCATTCCTGGCAAGGGGAACTGCCAGTGCAAAGATCCTGGGATAGAAGGATGCATGACATCTGCTAGGAATAACCAAGACACAAGATGTATCTGAGTGTCACCCGGGCATGGTGGCGCATACCTAGAATCCTAGCACTCAAGAGGCTGAGGCAAGAGAGTTACAAGTTTGAGGCTGGCCTGGGCTACATAGCAAGATCAAGGACAGCCTGAAAAAAAGTGTCTGAGTTGGGGTAGGGGATGAATAATGAATAACACCTATCCCATGGGATGCTTTGAGAAAACAATGAAATGTGACTGGGTATATCACAGGTGCTCTGTGAATGGCTGTTTCCCCCTCTTCTTGGGACCCTGTCAGAGTCGGGGGGACAGACCTATGTTGGAGCAGAGGAATGAGGGGTGTTTGTAAAGGCTGGGCCACACCTGCCCACCTCTCTCTGCAGGCTGCACCAAGTGTACTTTGATGCACCCAACTGCCAAGGGGGTACCACCAAGGTCTTCCTAGTGGGGGACTACTCCTCATCAGCTGAATTCTTTGTCACCGTGGCTGTATTTGCCTTCCTCTACTCCATGGGGGCTCTAGCCACCTACATCTTCCTGCAGAACAAGTACCGAGAAAACAACAAAGGGCCCATGCTGGTGAGTCCTCACAGTCAATTGCATGCAAGGGTGGGGGGACATAGCTCATCTGGCTCACAGGCCACACTAACTCCCAGACAAGCCCACATACACACAGCTCTTGTAACAGCCACACATATTGGTGCTGCTGCTGTCTCCATGAGTCTACACCAGACATCAGGCACATACAGTCATAGTCTCAGGGACATACAGCCCACACAGAATCCCAGACAAACCCACACCTGTGAACCTGTCAATTCTTACAACCATGCACACAGTTTAGATCAAAGGAAGGAGCACACAGAGGTTCACTGTGACAGTCATGCTTGTCATCCTGCCACACAGACACTGATTCCTACACCACTATACTCACACACCCTCATCCCAGGCATAAAATGACCCAAATTCCCACATGCATATGAAAGCAGAAAGGCACACCACTTGCCACAGATTCTGGAAGCAACCCACTAGTTCCTCTTGCAACACCCATACCCACACATCACAATCACACTCCCACATCCTCCAAGTCACCTATCCTCACACAAGCTCAAGCTGGGAGGGCCACCTTCAGGTGAAATGCTGTAGGCTGCTGAGCTGAAAAGGTGGAGGACAGAGACAGACCACTTTTGGGGGAACCTCCCAAGAAGCCTGTGATCTGAGGAGGACCCTGGGCCCAGCACAAGGCAGCCCACTCACACTGCCATCTTCCTCACCCCTGCCACCTCAGGACTTTCTGGCCACTGCGGTGTTTGCCTTCATGTGGCTAGTTAGCTCATCTGCCTGGGCCAAGGGGCTGTCAGATGTGAAGATGGCCACGGACCCAGAGAACATCATCAAAGAAATTGCTGTCTGCCGCCAGGCAGGGAACACGTGCAAGGAGCTGAGGGACCCTGTGACCTCAGGGCTCAACACCTCTGTGGTAAGCTCTGGGAAGCTGGCTGGGCTAGCTGGAGGAGGAGGCTGGGAAACTCACAGTCTGTCATGGGCAATGGTGGAAAGAGAGAATGGGAGGGGAGCCAGGGGAGATCTTAGGGAGTTCCCTGGAGGAGGCATGCAAACAACAGAATGTTGAAAGACATTCTTTTGTCTTGGACCCAGCCTAGTCGGGTGGAATGTCCCACAACTCAGCGTCTTCTTAGGACCTTGAAATTTTAAAAATGAAATGTCTCTTTACTTGTACTCCTCCTACTCAGTAGTTACATTGTGTGAGCTCAAATCTTAGCTCTGCCTCTTAGAAGCTCTGTGACTTGAAGCTAGTCACATACCTCTTAGGGTTCAATCTGAGTGCATAAACTGAAGATTTGTAATGGGTCCTGCTCCAAAGTAGAGTATTTAGTGAACTAATGACATACAAAGTGCTTAGAAAAGGGCCTGGCACTGGTAAATCTTATACAAGTGTTACAGATGCTAAGATTCCAACTCTTTTCTGCCACTTTCTGGCTGTGAGACCTTGGACAACTTAGCCTATCTGGGACTTAGTTTCCTCAGTTTTATTTTTGGGGGATGTTTGTTGGTTGGTGTGAGACAGGGTCTCACTATGTAGTTCAGACTGGCCTTAAACTCACTGTGTAGCCCAGGCTGGCCTCGAACACATGGCAATCCTCCTGCCTCAGCCTCCCGAGCGCTGGGATTATAGGTATGCACCATCATGCCCAGCCTTCCTCAGCTTTAAAATAGAGATACCAACTAAGTGACATAGAACATTCTTATAATCCCAGCTACTCAGGAGGCTGAGCCAAAAGGATCATAAGTTTGAGCCCAGCCTGTGAAACTTAGTGAGACCTTCTCCCAAAATTAAAAACAAAAATGTCCTGAGAATGTAGCTCTGTGGTAAAGCTTACCTGGGTTCAATCCCTAGTACTACAAAAAAAACAAAAAAAAATCCAGAAGTCTCAATGGGGCTTTTATGCCTATTATCCCAGCTACTCAGAAGGCAGAGAAGGGAGCATTGCTTGAGCCCAAAGTTAGAAACCAGCAAAAGTAATGTGAAAATAAATAAATAATAAAAATAAAATAAAATGAAACCCAGGTGTGGTAGTGCATGCCTATAGTCCCAACTATTTGAGAGGCTGAGGCAGGAGAACAGAAAATTAGAGGCCAACCTGGGGAATTAGCAAGATTATCTAAAGAAAAATAGGGCTGGGATGTAACTCAGTGGTACAGTGCTTGCCTATCATGTACAAGGCCCTAGGTTCAATCCCCAGTACCACAAAAATGAGTTTTAATTAAAAATAAAATCGGGCCGGGGATTTAGCTCAGTGGTTCCGGCGCCTGCCTCACAAGCGCAAGGACCCGAGTTCGATCCCCGGTACCAAAAAATAAAAAATAAAAAAAATAAAAATAAATAAAATAAATAAAATAAAATAAATTAGGTATAGTGACACATGTCTGTAGTCCCAGCACTCCAGAGGCTAAAGCAGGAGGATCACTGCAAGTCTGAAGCCAACCTGGGCTACACAGGGAGTTTAAGGTCAGCCTGAACTACACAGTGAGATCCCACCTCAAAAAAACAAACAATAATAATAGTAAAATAAATTTAAAAGTAAAAGGAGGGCCGGGGATTTAGCTCAGTGGTTCTGCTGCCCGCCTCACAAGCGCAAGGTCCTGAGTTCGATCCCCAGTACCAAAAAAAAAAAAAAGTAAAAGGAGCTATTACTTCCTGCCCCACAATGGAATTTTAAGGGAACTAATAACATCTAAAAGTGGCTAGAAGAGGGTGTGACACAGAGTAAAAGGTACATAAAGTGTTCTGTTTTTAAACTATTTTATAAAGTTCCATTTATATATTATACATATGCATTTGTTTGTATATACACGCATTTGTTAATAAATTTAATACACATATGTTTATATTTTAGGATACATTACAAATTTACTATATTTTATACATGTACAAACATGTATATGTAATATGTGTATGTGCAAATATATAAATACTTGTGCATGTAATACCGATACAGCTCAACACCCCCAGAAATCTAAATTCTAACACATCCCCAAGGTGATTTTCTGCAAATTGAGGTTCACGCACTCCCACAGATTCATGCCCTACTCGCGCGTCCTAGGCCTTGAAGTCTCCTGGGCCCGTCAGGGCAATGGGCAGGGGAAGATAGCCGGGCCTTGTCTCCCTGCAGGTGTTCGGCTTCCTGAACCTTGTGCTCTGGGTCGGCAATCTATGGTTCGTATTCAAGGAGACAGGCTGGGCCGCTCCATTCCTGCGCGCACCTCCTGGCGCCCCAGAGAAGCAACCGGCACCCGGGGATGCCTATGGCGATGCGGGCTATGGGCAGGGCCCAGGCGGGTATGGGCCCCAGGACTCCTACGGGCCCCAGGGCGGCTACCAGCCCGACTACGGGCAGCCAGCTGGCGGCGGTGGCTACGGGCCCCAGGGCGACTATGGGCAGCAAGGCTACGGCCCACAGGGTGCGCCCACCTCCTTCTCCAATCAGATGTAATCTGGTGAGTGATGGGCGGGTGGTGCGACCAACTAGAGTACATGAAAAGAAATGGGCGGGTCAGTGAACCAATAAGAGTCAGGAATGGACTGTACTAGGACGAGTAAGGACCAAAGTTTAAAGGAACCAATGGAAAGCCAGAGCAACAAGCTAAAAATCAAGAAACTAGCCAACGAATGGAGAGCAGGAGAGTGGCGCCTCACGATGGGCAGAATAAGGAGCCAATAGGAAGAAGGGAGAAGTGAAGTGCAGCTTTGCATGAAAGCAGAGGGAGAGAAGTGGGTAACCAGTGAAAGGAGAAAACAGCAACGGGACTTGCGCAGTGGAGACTCATCGGAGCTGCGGAAGGGAAAAGGAGGTGGGTCTTAGAAGTGACTGACAAACCAATAGGCGATAAGGCCAATAAACAGTGAAGGTAAATGGGTGAGTCTTGAAGGTCAGACGAGCTTCCCAAAGCCGGAGAGGTGATAGATTTGCCACCACTCCCCAACCCACAGGGTGACAGCGGTGGTGAGGAATTTCAAAGGAGGAAAAGGTTCGGGGTGGAGAGTCTTGGAAAGCCTTTCTGTCCTTCTTGCTGGGCCTTAAAGGAAAAGTGGCTGGAGCAGGGCGTGGTGGCGCACACCTGTAATCCCAGCATTCCGGGAGGCTGAGGCTGGAGGATCGCAAATTCCAGCCCAGCCTGGGCAACTTAGTGATTTAGCAAGACCCTATTTCAATTTTTTTGTTTTTTTTTTTGTACCGGGGACCGAACTTGGGACCTTGCGCTTGCGAGGCAGTCGCCGGAACCACTGACCGGCCCCATCCCTAGCCCTTTAAAAAAAAAATGGCCCCAATTTTTTTTAAAAAGGTCTAGGAATGGGGCCAGGATGTAGCTCAGTGGCACCACGCCTGCCTGGCAAGAGCAGGGTTCTGAGTTCGATCCCCGGTACAAAAAAAGGGGGGAGGGGGCTAGGGATGTAGGGATGTAGCTCAAGGAGAAAGCCCTGGGTTCAAGCGCACACACACACACACACACACACACACACACACACACGTACGTACATACGTGAGATTTCCCCCAACTAGGAAAGGGGAAGATGGAGAGAAACGGTAAGGAGAGGTGGGTCAAGTTAGTTTCTGGCACCAGGTTAGCCAGGATAGGAAGGACAGGAAATGTATTTAAGCATCCCAGCCTAATCAAAATATCCATCACACGCACTGAGGTCTTTCCCTGGCCAGCTCCCTTTCGTCCTTTGGGTCACTTGCTCCTGGAGGACTTGCCTGACTACCCCATCTAAAATAAATCCCCTTGGTATCTCTTTCATAGTACCCTGTACTTTCCATATCACAGTCTCACCCATCTGTCTATTGGATGTCTCTTCCACCAGACTCAAGGATGTAACCATGATTTATGGTGTTCACACATCACTTAGAGCAGTCTTAATACTGAGAAACATTTTGTTGAGTAAATAATGAAAACACTGTAGCTGAGACATTTTAATCTTCTCTGCTCAAAATAATCCTATGACGAGGGGTAGTGGCACAAACCTGTAATCCCAACACTCAAGAGGCTGAGGCAGGAAGATCACCTCAAGTTCAAGGCCAGCCTAGGCAGCATAGTGAGTTCAAGCCCAGCCTGGACTACATAGTGAGACCTGTCTCAAAAAACCAAAAACAATCAAATCATCCCATGACTTACATCTCATCCAGACAAAGCTGCATTCCTCACAACTTGATCCACAAGGCCCTGTGTGACCTTTCTGACATTACCTATCACTCTCCCCCTTGCTCTACTTTGTTTATCCCATTTCATTATCACTTTATATTACACTAGAAAATTCATGTGTACATCATGTTCATTGTGAGACATCTGTCTATCTGCTACAATGTGAGCCCATAAAGATAGGGATCTTTGTTTTGCTCAGTATAGTTTCTGTTTGTTTGTTTGTTTTATTTGTTTTGTTGTGCTTTTTGAGACAGGGTCTTACTATGTAGTCTAGGCTGACCTTGAACTCACTGTGTAGCCCAGGTTGGCCTCAAACTCTCAGTGATCCTCCTGCCCTCAGCCTCCTGAGTGCTGGGATCACAGGCATATCCCACCATGTCCGGTTCAATATAGTTTCTCAGTAATAGCTAGAACAGTACAAGTTAATAGATATTTGGAGGCAGGACCTTAATCACTTTGGTCCCTAACCTAGTGGGGCGTGGGGGTCAAAAATATCTTCTGAGTAAGGACAGCTGGAATGAAGCTGACTTCAGGGCTTTGAGTGAAGGAAGAAGGAAAAGCAGATGGCAGAAAATAAAGCCAGAGCAAGGACAAAGGAGCCCAGGCCCTCCCCAAGGGCATCACCTGTGTCTGGACCTCTTTTCCTTTCTGTGTCTTTTGTCTCCACAGGTCAGTGCAGCCCCGAAGAACTCCTGGGTGGGCAAGAGCTCAGGAGAAGGCCTGCCCCCCTTCTTGCCCCTGTACCCTAGGTCTCCACCCCTCAAGCCAGGAGACCCTAACTGTCTTTGCTGTTTATATATATATATAATATATATTATATATATAAATATCTATTTATCTGTCTGAGCCCTGCCCTCACCCATTTCCTTCATGCACTAGGGGCCCAGTCTTGAGTGGGCTCCTCCCTTACCCTCACCTCTTCCTCTACATCCCTCAGCCCCTCTCTGTTCCTGGCCCTGTTCCCTGAGGTTGAGGGGCACTGGAAGGGGGACAGGGAGGAGACAGGCCTCGGCTGTGAGGGGGAGGGTGGGTGTGATTCCATACTCTCTCCCCTTTCCACTCCCAGCCTCCTAACTCTGGCCTTGGTTCCTCTAGCAAGTCCTGAACAGAAGCTGTAATAGGAAATTCAACTCCTAGGGTAGGAGAAAGGCAGAGATCAGGATGGAGGTTTGGAGAAGAGTGGACAGCTTTGGACCCAAGGTGGTCTTGGAGGAGAGCTGTGAAATGGAGGGGACTAGTCAGCAGGGGTTGGGGTCCAGACTTGCTCTATCTGGAGTCTAAGGGAAGAGTCCCTAAGGCATTCTGGGGTGGGCTTGGAAGGGGTGAGGGCGTTGCTCCAGAAGGTGTGAGCTTTAGGTGAGCTGGACAGTGGGCTCCGGAGTGGGAAGGTCTTGGATTGGAACTGTAATTGGAACATTCAGGAGTGAGCTTGAGTATAAAAGGAATAGGTCTTGAGTGGGGCAAGAAGTGGGGTTTGGGAAAGGGCCAAGTTCAGGGTGAGGTTCTAGTGAGGGTTCCAGATAAGGCAGGACTTACAGTGGGGCTTGTGTGGTGGTTTTGGAAGGAGCAGTCCTTCCCCAAAAGGAGCAGTAAAAAAAGTGTTTTAAAGTGAGAGGGTTTGGCCAATGGGCGAGGGCAGAAGCTGCACGGTGAATTTGGTTAAAGGTAGGGGCGAATGTGCCTGGCCAAGGCTGGGGAACCACGGTGGCCTGGGAAGAGCTGAGTGATAAGGCTTTGAGGGTGAGGGGTGGGATCCAGACAGAAATACTCCCCACCCTGCCCGCACCCTACCTCAGACAGCTAGGTAATCAGAGGACAGAGCCAATGGGTCTGTGGAGCTGGCCCACCCCTCTTCCCTCTTCCCCTGCCCCCTCCCTCCTGCCACACCTCCACCCATCCAGGGGTGGTTGGAAGCCTGGTCTGGAGCCCCTATCCTGCACCCTCTGCTGTGTCTGTGATGTTGGTAGTGCCTGTGATCGTGTGTTGCCATTTTGTCTGGCTGTGGCCCCTTCTCCTCCCCTCCAGACCCCCCCTTCCTGCACCCTTCGGTATTGTTTGAAGACCCCCTCCCAAGGAAGAACAAACATGAGTAATTCTCCCCAAATAAACTCCTCAACCACCTAGTCCACCTGGCTCTAATTTCTTTTCTTTATTTTTTTTTAATTTTTTTTATGGGGGTTGTTTGTTTGGGGGTTGTTTTGTTTTTGGTACCAGGGATCAAACCCAGGACCTTGCACTTGTGAGGCAGATTCAGTGCCACTGAGCTAAATCCCAGGCCCCTTGTTTTGTTTTGTTTCCTTTGTTTTGTTTTTTGAGACAAGGTCTCACTATGTGTGTGGTTCAGGCTGGTCTTGAACTCACTATGTAGCCCGAGCTGGCCTCCAACTCACATCGATCCTCCTGTCTCAGCCTCCCAAGTGCTGGGATTACAGGCATTCACCACCATGCCTGGCTTTTTTGGTTTTTCTTGAGACAAGGTCTCGTTATGTAGCTCAGGCTAGACTTGAACTCGCTATGTTGCCCAGGCTGGCTTCAAACTTGTGGCAATCTTCTTGCTTCAGCCTCCCAAGTGCTGGGATTACAGGCATGCACCACTACATCCAGCCTCTAATTCTTAGTGTGTCTTTCTTGGGATCAAAAGGGGAGCAATGAGGGAGAGGAATCCCTGAGCCTGATCGGCAGGCAGCTGCCATGGATCCCATGAAGTCTTGCTTACCCATCATTCTAAGTCACACACTGCAGAGCCCTGCTTGATGCCCTATTACCAGCCACCGGATACCCAGTCTTTCTAGGGTTTGGTTCTCACTCTGCTCCCTTAGCCAAAATACTTCCCAGCTCTTGTGAAGCCCTCTCCTCAAAACTGCTGACTAAGGATGTGACCAGCACTACAAGCCAGAACTTTAAAAGTTAGACTTTTTTTCTTGTTGAGATAAGCAATTTCTCCAGACTTCCTCCTGCTGAACACATAACCAACACTTCCTCCCCTCAGCCTAATCTAAGTGACAGAATATACATATGTGAGCGCCAGGAGTCGAGTCCAGGTTCCTTCCCACAAGAAAGAGGAATAAACGAAAGACAGCTGAAGTGATAAAGCAGGTGTGGAACTCTCCATTGTCTCTGTGCTCCCCTCTGTCCTTACTGTAAAAAACCTTGTCCACCTGTACACAGGGGGATGGTGATTTGAGGCAAACCGTTCCCTCCAACTCCTCAGAGCTAACTTTAAATAAATCCTTTTTCCTTTTTACCAAAATACATGGCCTCTTTGGTCAGCGACAAGCAAAGGAACCTAAGCATCTGAACCTGAGTGGCCGGTAATAGGGAGACTCCACAGGGAGACCGCACCCCACCCAACCCCTTCATCTTCAGATCCTGCTGTCTGCCCTTTTCCACGCCTCCGCCCTGGCTGCAAACTGCAAGACCTGCTGGGTTGGAGGCGGGAGGCGAGGCGTCGGCTAGATTCCTTCTTCAATTTGTTCGTTCTTTCCCCTCTCCCGGACTCCTCCCTGGGACAAGAGGGGCGAATAGTGACAAGGATGTGCGTAATAGTGTGGGGGAGCTCCCCGGCGCCCACGATGAAAGGCCGGGCTGGCCGCCACCGCCTCCTGCCTAATTAAAGACCCCAGCCGGCCGGGCGTCCGAGTTCTGACTGCGCCCGCGGGGTCCCCTCCTCCTAGCTGAAGCCCAAGAGAGCGAAGGAAGGATTCCCAGCTCTGGAACCGAGTTCAATGAAAGAGAAAAATGAGGGCGGGGGAAGCAAGGCAGACCAAGATCCCAGTCTCTGTACTTAGCGGGCACAACATCTAAGCTTGTGGAGAGCGAGGAAGAGGGTCTTGGAACCCCTCCACAGAAGTCGCAAATAATCCTGGCTCTGAGAAGGGACTAGGGAGGGCCTAGCTGTCTGGTGAGAGTCGTGGAACACCAGCTGAAGCTGAGAATGAAGTGGAGGGCCATTCTAGAAATATTCATCGTGGAAAGAATGTGAGGACCTCACTAGTGGGGAGGGACTAGAGGTGGCTCTAACCCTTGCCCCAAATAAGCATCCAAGATGAATCGACACAAAGCGTCAATATCCCCCTTCCAGTCAGTTCACCACCTCCAAGTCCCTCCACCCACACACCTACATCCAACACCTCCTCCACCGCAGCCTTAGAGCCCTAGAGGCTACGTGGCGCTGGCATGTTGAGATTCTGGAGGTCCTGCCTCTGGAACGCCCCGCTCCGCCGGGCGGAGAGAATGGGGCGCTCCTGGCAGCTCACCTTCAGGCAGGGGTGCTACAGGGAGAGCACAGGCCCAGGGGCGGGCCCTACGGGACGCGCTCCTCCCA